CCTAGTGCCTTTGCCTCTGTATCTCAAAACACTTTACACAACATTTAGTTAAAGCCTCACAACACCCCTGTGAGGTAGGTCAGTATTATTATCCCCATTTTACAGATGGGGAAACTGAGGCACAGAGAGGTTAAGTGACTTGCCCAAGGCCACACAGCGAGCCAGCGGTCGAGCTGGGAATGGAACACAGGAGTTCTGTCCCTTTTCTGGAACCACTGGACCCCGCTCCCCTTTACCTATATACATTCTTCACACACACACCACAAGTGCACACCCACCCCACCCCACCCCACCCCCCTTAGCCTCTATGTACAGCAAACAGTAGTGGGGGACAAGGGCAGGGGGTGCCTCAGCAGCGTTTAATGGAGGAAATCTTGGTAATCTTAAAAAGGGAATCCAAGAAAGCATAGAGCTCAGCCACAATGCAGACTCTGTGCAAACCTTGGGCCCCTCCCAACCCCGACTTCCTCTTCTCTCCTGCTGTCCCCCTGGCTGGCTCGTTGCAGCCAATTCTTTAGGGGGTGGGGGTACCTGAAAATGAACGAAGCTTTTTGCAAAACTTTGGGCAACATCTGAGAAAAGAAAGAGGCATCGCTAAGGAAGATGCCCAGGACTCAAGTCACAAAGTCGTAACCCATGGCCATCTCACCTCCACAGTAGGCCTGGAGGCTGGGGACCGGGGGAGGATGGGGACTGACCTACCAGCCATTTCTCTCCAGAGTGGAGCTACTGGAGCAGACGAGAGTGGGCACTTCAGAATCCTCCTGAGAGTGTTTCTGGATCGGGAGACATGGCCTAGAGAGGGATGTCCCCAAAGCAGGGCAGGGTGAGGGCAGCGGAGGGGGGCCCCTCATCCCTGCACAAATGTGAACGAGACCAGCCCTAGTGCGCTGGTTTATCTGTGGGGTGATGGAGGGCAAGGCCCAGCATAGCTAGCAGAGTGGAGGCTGCTGGGCATCGTGCACGCCTGAGCTTGGGGGCACTGGGTTAGATTTTTTTCACAAACTGGTGAAAAAGGCAGAAGTAAGCCAGCCCAGTTGGGCCGGCTGATATCATCCCTGGGGGCTCTGCCAGCTGAACTGGTGAGGAAGGGGTTTCATGGGCCTGTATGCACCGGCCTAGGGAGGTGTGAGGCATGCAATGGTCGAATGCGGGGGTGGGGGTGGGGGTGGGCAGGTGTCAGGACCTTGCTTCTCTCTCCAATCTCTACCTCTCAGCCAGAACGTGGCCAGAGACCCTGATCTCTCTCCCATTCCTCTCCTTTCCCCGGATGTGCTAAGGTCCCCATTCCCAGACCCCTCCCAGGACTCAAGAATTGGGATAGTCAAGCAACAAACACACAGCAAGACAGGCTTCCCTTGTACAGGAAAAAGGGTCGTTTTTATTATGTTTCCTTTTTTGGCTGATAGTAGTGATGTACGTTTTGTCATGTCTCATTTAGAGCAGTGGTGGCCCCCATGCATTCACTAATACACTAATCCTCACTATTGGTCTGGCACAAGTTTACGTTGGTTGCGGCAGAAAATAAAAGAACTCTGGGCACTGTCGCTCCAGGGGCTTTGATTGGGAGTTTCTATTTGACTCTCCCAGGTCAACTTCTGGTGCCAAAAGAGGCCCATTCAGCGAGGGGTGGGAGTTGGACATGCTGACCCCCGTTTGTTCCTGCTCTCGCCCTCCGCTTTAGATTGTGGAGTCTCCTCATCCTCAGTAACAAAGAGATCAAGGAAAGAGGGGGAAAGTGTTTTTCCACACAAACCAGCAACTGTGTCTGCTGCTGCTCAGTGGCTTTGGCTCTGCATTTTAAATGAACAGCATCACACGTCTTTTTGCTTTTTGTCCTTTTTTAAAGGTGGATTGTGGAGTATAAATACTGCACCAAGGACCTGGCTACAAAAAATAAATATTTATATTATATTTATATATCTATATATATATATATATGTGCAGTGATACTGTGGCTGCTGCTGCTTTTTGATTGGCTTCGTTAATATTTGGCAAAGCGTTGCCGCTTACCCACTCAGTGAAGACGTACAGAAACGTCACCACTGATTCTCTCGGTTCAATGCCTGTTAACTGCGGGTGTAAACTGCTGGTGATGGTGTCATTTACTACCAAAGAAGTGTGGAGCAGGGCAGGTGAGTGAGTGAGAGTGGTGGGTGGGTGGAGGGACGGTGGGGAGGAAAAAGATGGCGGGAAAAGTCTGAAGAAAAAAAAAGTGAAACTTCAAATAGAGTGGTGGTGGCGTCTTTCCTGTGAAGCTGGCTGATGGGTGTCAGGTACCAAGGCCCGCGTGTGCCTGAGGAGATAGCCTGCCGGGCTGGGATCGGGTCTGGGGGGAGGGGAAGGGTCAGATATCAGAAAAGACTCATGAATATGTTCTAATAGCTTAACGGTATCGTTAGCATGAGCACTTGGGGTAGCGAGTGGGACCTTATAGCTCTCTTGCCCATCTCAATCCTAAGAAACAGTTATGAAGTTTAGCCAAATCTTGCATAGAAGTGGTTAGAATTTATTGCACATTGGAACAAAAATATATATTTGTGTTGTTTTTGGAAAAGACCATTAGCAATAAAAAATTTTTTGTCTGTCTGTCTGGTTTGGGGATGTACATTGGCTGACAGCATCTAAGTTCTAAGAAAGAAAGGAAAGTATAAAAAATAAAAATAAACATGACAATGGCATAAGCCAGAAGCCATTTCCTATTTAATACGTTAATAATTTTGTATTTACAAAAAGGCATGCCAATAAAATAAAATGATATATTACAGTATTTATAATTCTCTTAAAAAGAATAACCACACACGTCAGCTTCTGTTTTGTGCTGTTTACGATGTAACCTGTACACGATACTATGCATTCGTCCTAGCGGTTAGCAGGGTCACCTAAAGAGATGCCTTTTCAACCTCGTATTGGGCGTAGTACGAAAGTTCCACGGCGGTGCCACAGAAGCAGGCTTACGCGAGCTGGCCCGCATGTAATGGTCCAGCAAGACAGAAAGCTCTGCTTCCCGGCTCGCTGTGGTTTGTTCTACGCAAAACTAGTCAGGTGGACATACATCCAAAGTGCGTCTACTGCAAGGCAGATTGGTGTGTCTGATTATGGGTTCTTTTCCCCCCTCTGTTATAAGGTTCAGGGAAAATTCATTTTGATTTGGTTAGCAAGCGAAAGTCTCTCCTCATTCTTTGTATAGGCTTCCTGACACATTCAACTGCAGCATCTTGGCTTTAAAATCTAGTCATCAGACAAGAAACCCCTGGACTACTAAAAACTGTCTTCCCTAAAGCAGGAGATGGAATGAGAGAGAGGACGCTCCCCCCAAAAGCCACTCTCCAATGGCAATGAGCAGGTTGCTAAGCAGATAGCAAAACTGGCTGGAAGGGAATGCGCTGGGGGAAGCTGGAACATCTTAAGAATAAATATTAAGTTGTTTTCTCGTGAGAATCAGTGCAATATAGAACCCAAGTGGGCCTGGTTCAGAGGAGGCGCCATCACTACCTCAGGTCCCACCAGCGATGAGTTATTCTAACAGGACGTGAAGAAACCACAGCCATAGCCCCAGTGCTGCTGCCCTCACCCACCTCTGTGGGCAAGGGAAGCCCTGCTCGGTGGAAAATGTGAGGGAGGTGAGAGGAATCATGCAGTGTGTGAGCTTGGGACAACCCCTCTGCAGAAGGGAGGCCTGTTCAGAACGTCTGAACCCCTCTCCGCGTGGACCCGAGCCCAGAGGAAGCCACATGCAGAAGGACGTGATACCAGATGAAGTGAGCACCCTTCACCCCCAACGAAAGGTGTTGTAAGCTCCCCAAGTTACCCCCTAGAGATAACATACTACTTTGAATAGCATGTTTACCTCTATCCCAAATAAGTGTCAGTTCTCCAGATGAACTTCTGATTTTTGTTTTTAGCCCTAGGATTTGGTTTTACAGTGACATTATTAATACAAGCCATTTGAGATCAAAATTTCCCCACGTACGGGACACAGAGCAGCATTAAACAGTTCATCTTTCAAAATGTGCAACAATGGCTGTAAGAGATGTCTGTTAAACATATACACACACGGATCCATCTGCTTGTTGGATTGGGTTTGTTTTTGTTGGACGTGGTCAATTGGTTGGTTATGTTTCCCTATCAGGTGTATGAAAGGCTTCTAAGAATTCATAAAGAATTATGGTGGGTATGGAACTCTTACCATTTTTTTTTCCAAATACAGTGAACGGTGCAGGGCTGGGTCCTGTTCGAAGGCTGACCCAGTGCAGGGGACAGGATGAGCAGCGTCCTGTGGTGTATGGTTCTCATGCATGACTTCTGATCACGGCATGCCATCATGCAAATCATTTCCACGCATTGAACGAGCACAATGTTTGGAATCGGCCTGAGCAAGTCCTCCTCAGCCTGAAGAAACCTGATTGTTTGCCCCCACCCATCTCCAAACCACGTGCAAACCACGTGCAGCCCATGTGGAGAAGATGCGGTTTATGTCAAAGAAACTGACAATTAAATGACATGGGCTAAATGTGAGTGTGAGTGTGTGTGTGTGTGTGTTTTCTTTTGCTGCTTAGCTTAACTAATGTAGGAATGCAAATATAGTTTGCATGAACAAACGAACTTTTTAAAGTGATGCTTTCTGCTTCTGAGAATCAACAAAATGAAAAAATAAGATCCATTTGGCTGCAAGGGAAATATGCTGGTCCCGGCAGCCTCTCCTCTGTTTTTGTGTCCTGTTTAGTTTTGTCCTAAGTTGCATTGACTGATGTGGAACATGCAGTAACCACCTGCCCAAGCGTTAGAAAATCTGTGAGTCAGGGGGCAGGGTCCTTTGCCCTGGGCAGGTCACTGCTCAAGATGCAACCATGTGACATGGTAAGCAGACTACGTTTGGTATAGATCGTCAGGGTAAAGTGTCTCCATAGCTGTTCTGCACTGATAATATTCAGGAAGTTTGTAAACAATCTTTCACTTGCACATTTTAAGTCTGTACAATATTAAATTTTCGCTTTCCTCTAACACTTGGATTCTCTGACCTCTTTTTGTCTTTTGGCTCTTTCCCTTCTTCCTTCCTCTGCCCGCTGCTGTTTCTCCTTCTCAGGTTTAGTCACACTGTCATAGGACGGGAGGGAGGCGGTAGACGGGGTGCTCTCCTTCTTCTCCGGGTGTGTGCCTCCGTTCTCCAGCTTGTTGGAAGCTATCTTTTTGCAAATGAAGCCCCGCCTTGCTAAATGTCCCCGGTAAGCGCGCTGCAGGACCACTGCCGACACCTCCTCCTGCTTGCGCCGCAGTGTGGTCGTGATCGGCTCGTAAGACACTTTGGAAGGATTGGACGCCACGAACCGCTCCTCCATCTGCTGTCGAAGGATGTCCAGCTCCCCGCTGTCTCCCAGGACCCGCTTGGTGAAGGCAAAAAGGATGTCCAAGCAGTGGATGCGGTCCCCGCTGACCATGGGCAGATCCATGGCAATGAGCTCAATGGTGTTGGGCTTGGGCACTCGCAGAGGATGCTCCAAGGCATCTGCGAAGTCTGCCAGCTTACAGTACTCGATGAACTGGGTGGCGTCGGGGTCGAACTTCTCCCAGATCTCGTAGAAGGTCTCAAAGTCGTCCTCACTCAGAGGGTCTGCACTTTCCTCGGTGGCGACACTGAAGTTCTCCAAGATGATGGCAATGTACATGTTCACAACAATTAGGAAGGAGATGATGATGTAGCTTACAAAGAAGAAGATGCCCACTGAGGGGTTCCCGCAGTCTCCCTTAAAGCCACTCCCGGGGTGCTCCTTGTCCAGACTGCAGTCAGGGGGGCGGTTGAGGATGGGCAGCAGCAGGCCATCCCACCCAGCGGAGGTTGTGATCTGGAACAGGCAGATCATGCTATTGCCAAATGTCTCAAAGTTGAACATGTCATCAATGCCAGCCTCGTGCTTCACATACGCAAAATTGGACATCCCGAAGATGGAGAAGATGAACATGACCAGGAAGAGCAGAAGGCCGATGTTGAACAGAGCAGGCAAGGACATCATTAAGGCAAAGAGCAGGGTCCGAATCCCTTTGGCGCCTTTGATCAGACGCAAGATGCGCCCAATACGGGCCAATCGGATGACTCGGAATAGGGTTGGGGAAACAAAGTATTTCTCAATTATATCCGCCAGGAACATTCCTAAGAAGAGGAATAGAAGAAGATATGTTACTGGGATTGGAGATACCTTTCTCTTTACTGTGTCACATGGTATAATGAAACCCTTAAGTTCAAAGGACTTTATAGAATGACTGCCTTACTATTTAATCTGAACTATCATGATAAAAAAGAAAATCACGTTTCAAAGATATAAAAAAAGATAAAACAATAAAATAGACACCCATGTAGCTAACACCCAGATTTAAGAGACGCTAGCATTTCGCCAGATTTGCTTCCTCTTCATTCCCAGAAGCAGCCACACAGTCCTGAAGACGGTGTGTATCATTGCGGTGTCTTCATGATTTTGGTATGTATGGATCCATAAGTAATATATAAATAACATTTTACATACTTAAGGAATTAAAATATATCTCTTTTTAGATCAAATTTTTTAGATCTCTAACTTGCTTTTGAGACTTAACATTGTGAAATCTAGTGTTAAAATAATTTTAGATTATTCATGATAATGGTTGAAAATCATGACTAGGTCCTCATTTATCTGGTTTCCCACTCAAGGATAATTTGTTATTTTCAAATTTGTGCATGTATGGCTTCCTGAGGTGTTATCAATTCTTTTCCAAAATGCTGTCAAATTTCCATATCCACAAACAGTAATGAGAGGCCCTCCCTCCACCCTGTGACTTCACTCCCTTTGGCTATGATGTCTTAGTTATTCCGGTAATGCCGCCAATTTTCAAAGTGTCTTCTTCCTGGCTCTGAAAAGACATTTTGGTTTCTCACTGCCCCATGTCCATACCCCAAAGAATGAGTCTAGCAAACTAAAGAGACTTCTCATGAGTGGCGTTTAACTCAGCTTCTAAACTTTGAAATCAGTATCAGCAGATAAAAAGGTGGAGACATTAGTAGGAAATAACAGTAGATGGTGAAAATGTACAAACCAAAGGGCTGTGTTCTATTCACACTCAGCCAGCGGCCCATCTCCACCAGACCACCTGCTTTAAAGCTACAGAGCAATAATGGGAGCCTGACAAGGGCCACAGAAGGAAGAGCAGATGGAAAGGATGGGAACCTGCAGGGAAGACAAAGGTGTGGTCTCTTCCTTCGGTGCCTTCTGCTGTCGAGGCCCCAATGAGACAACACGGGCTTCAACTGACATGAGGGATTGACTTTAAGTTAAAATATGTCTTTCAACCATAAGGATTCATAAACATTGGGTGACGATCAGCAGAAGGCAGTGGAATCCCCTTACCAAGGTTTTAAGCTAGGTAAGACTCTCAGGAAAGGACAAGAGGCAGGAAGTTCAAAGTAGGCCAGGTAACCTCTTGGGGTTTCGTCTGGAGCTAGAATTCCACGGGTGTTTGAACTTTCAAGAAAACCTCTACCTCATCCAGGCCCCAAATTGCTGCATCAGCTCTCTTCTTTTCACTTCTCAATGAAGCCATAACCAGTGGCCATAAGAAGTCAGGTAACTTGCATTCCATGTATGGTGGCCAAGTAAGGCTTCAGAGAGAAGATGCCTGAGCGATGTTTTGTAGGATGAATGTCTATTTGTCCCCAGAGAATCGGAGAGAGACGGGGCAAACAGCAACCCAGGCAGCAGGAACACCATTTACGGGGCCTTTCAGGAGGTTCCGGGGCTAGTTTCACCCCACATCCTCTTAATTTAAAAAGATAATTTCTATACTTTCATTTCTGAGCAAATTAATGATATCTAATAGAAACTCCAATCATTAAAATCTATTTTTGAGAGCAGGGGGCACGGTCTGGTCTGCGGGTTTTCCGTCCACTCAGTGGTGGGGGGGCAGAACAGGGTTGAGCACAGTGGAAAGGGCAGCACTGTTCAACCTGTGCTCGTGGAGGCTGAGAGTGTGGACCTGAGGCCGGGCGCTGGGCTTGAATCCCGTTTGCTCACTTACTAGTCCCATGTCTCAGTAGCTGCTCTGTGCTTGCTGATACTTACAGGGCTGTTGTATGGGCTATAAATTAAAACATGCAAAGCACGTGGAATGGTGATCAGCACATACTAATTCCACTAAAATGTAAGGTATCATTATTATAACTTGAAAAAGATGTGATCAAAGAAAAGTGGGATGGTGTATTAAACAATTCTTTACTGCAGGACTTCCAGGAGCCTTCTAGAGACTACTGTGTTCTGTGACCCTCACCAGGGAAATTCACTGTACAGTGTTGCCCAAAGTAATTTCATCATGGGATTCTTTTACTGGGGAAGAGATGGATGATGGGATTAGTGTTCCATGTAGCAACACACATTTGGACATGCTGCCCCTGAGGACAGAAACTAGAAAGTGGCACAGGCCCAGGTGAGTGCCGCCTCACTAAACCAGCCTGGCCACCAGAGCTCTGGAACTGGTCCCCATGGGGCTCGGGCACTCTCTCTGCTAGCCTGTCGGTCAGACCCACCGAGGCAGTGTTTCACCACTCAGGATGCCTTTTAGGAAGGCAAGGAATCGTTCTGAGAGGGCACACAATAGGACAGCATTTCCTCTGTCTGCCAGAACAGCACCCCTTTAACCTGTAGGTGAAGCAAAATGCCACACAGTTGCTGTTAAAACACCAACCTGAGTTCTGCTTCTGCTACCTCTGAGTTGAGTGACCTTCATGTCTTTACAGTGAAGGTAATAAAATAGCCCGCTTCCTGGGCTGTCATAAGGTGACACCTGGGCTTAAGCGAAGAGCGTGACCGGCCTGTACCCCAGTCCTGCGTAACTCGTTGCTCTCCCAGGAATCTTGTCCTCAAGGCCAGTCAGATGCCCATCTCCCTTCCCGCCTGCCCCACTCACCCACAATGGAGAGGATGACCACCACGAAGTCGAAGATGTTCCAGCCAATGGTGAAGTAGTAGTGCCTCAGGGCAAACATTTTGAGCACACACTCACAGGTGAAGAAGATGACGAAGACCAGGTTAATCCAGTAGAGGATGGTCTCCATCTGCTTGCTCTGAGTGTCTGTCTCCACCATCATTGTCACCATGTTAAGGCAGATGAGCATCATGATAACAATGTCAAAGGCTTGCTGAGTGACAAAATCAAAGACGATACCTTGGATTTTGTTCTGGGGTGGGGAGAGGGGGAAGAAAGAAACGAAGGATTCATGAAAGCCTTTCTAAGCAGGCTGTGGTTGCCATCCTGTTGATCAGAGTGTGCTGCTTTCTTTCTATAATACGAGCCAGCTCGATCCTGCTGCTCTCTCAGGAGAGCAGGAACATGGACAGACCCCAACATCAGTATCACTTCACCTAGGGTTTTCGAAACTGCCACTCTTTTCTTTTGCATCTATGCCATCGCACACGTCTAGATGTCTCTCCACCTCCCCAGCTGCTCCTTTTCAGTCTCATTTGCCAACCGTTTCTTCTCTTATTTAATCTCTTCTTTCTCTATGCTTTCCCCTAGGAGAGCTCATATATTCTACTGCTTACACAATATCTATGTTCTTAGTTTCCCAAGGTCTTCTCAGCCCATATCTTCCCTCTGAATTCCTGTGTTGCTACTTGATATCTCTCCCTGATGACGTAAGCATCTCAAACTTAACAAGCCCAAAGCAGAACTAAGTCCTTTCCCTGCCCCTCACCAAACTTGATCCTCTCAACTATCCATCCAGTCTCTAAGCCAGAAATTGGAGAGTCATCCTTGTGTCTTTCCTCTCCCTCATCCCCCCCATCTAGTCCATTGCAGGTCCGACTGATTCTTTCTCCAAAAATATAGCTTGAATTCATCCACTTCATTCCACTTCTGTTGTCCCTATTCTAGCCTAAGCTATCAGCATCTTTCATCTGGACTTCTAGAAGAGTCCCTGATTGGTCTTCCTGCTTCCTCTAACCCACATCCAACAATCTCCACACAGCATCAAGTGTGATTATTTAAAAACATAAATTAATCACATCATTTTTTTAATATACATTTTTATTGATTTCAGAGAAGAAGGGAGAGGGAGAGAGAGATTAAAACATCAATGATGAGAATCACTGATCGGCTGCCTCCTGCACACCCCTACTAGGAATCGTGCCCGCAACCCAGGCATGTGCCCTTGACTGGAATCAAACCCTGGACTCTTCAGTCCCCAGGCCGACGCTCTATCCACTGAGCAAAACCAGGCAGGGCAATCACATCATTCTTCTAGTTACAACCTTTTAGTAGTTTCTCATTGTGCTTGCAACAAAATTCCTATTGTTAACCTGGCGTAAAAATGCCTTTCACAGTCTGCCCCTTCCTCCAGCTCATCACCACCTGGCCACACTAATGTTTCTGGCTTTTAGGGCCTCATTTGCTTTTCCAGGATCTCTTTCTCCCATATTTTGGCTGTTTCTCACCACTCAAGTAGACCCTCCTTAGTGAGGCTTTCTCTGACTACTCTTTTAAAGTAGATCTCCCCATCCTAAGCCTCCATTCTTCTCTGTCATGGCCCTCCAGTTAATTTTTTCTCACAACAATGCACATTTTATAACAGCTGTTTGCTTATTTATCTCTATCCCCACTATATATTATAATCTCCATGATAGCAGTGTCTAAATTTTGGTCATCACTTTATGTCTAGTGCCTGGTACATAAGTGACCTATAACCACAAGCTAATTGATATAAACAAGAGTTAAGTTCCCATGCATCTCATCAATGTTATAATGAAACCCACTGTTGAACAAAAGAATGCTACTGAAGGACCTGCTATATTTGCTGGAAGAGTGCTGATCACTCTTAATGCTTCTTACCACACTAAGTTTTTATATTTCAGTGTGGAAGAAAATACACTCAGGTTCCCACGTACAAAGTACTGAACAGAACTTTAGAAATGTCAGCCCTCTTCCATTCCTTTTGGTCCCATTTCTATCCCAGAATGGAAACTCTAACATCAAGGAACTAAAAACCATTCATTTTCTTAAGTTCTCCCTGAGTGTTTTGAAAGTACTGAGGCCCTTGAGCTGGTGATTACTTTCAGGATTACTTTAACTTGGTGTTTTCCAAACAATGAAGTTCTGCAAAGCCCTAGGATTTCCTTTCTCTCAGAATTTGGTGAGGCGAGTATGCCAGGTGTGGCGGTGAGTAGGGAAAATACTCTGGAACTCCCACTCTTGATTAAAACAAAGTAGCTCTACTATTATTATTATTACAAAAGAAGTTGCCAGGAAAGCTTCTATTTTAAGAGTTCTGCTGGGTGTGTGTGTGTGTGTGTTACTTTAAATGCAAGTTACAGAAGAAGGAACTTTGAGCCTGGTCTTTGGGGGCCACAGCTTCTGCACAGCAAAAGAAACCATCAACAAAACAAGAAAGCCCACTGCGTGGGAAAACATATTTGCCAATGTCATATCTGATAAGGGCCTAATCTCCAAAATTTATAGGGAACTCATACAACTTAACAAAAGGAAGATAAACAATCCAATCAAAAAGTGGGCAAAGGATCTAAATAGACACCTTTCAAAAGAGGACATTCAGAAAGCTAAGAGACATATGAAAACATGCTCAAAGTCACTAATCATCCAAGAGATGCAAATCAAAACAACAATGAGGTACCATCTCACACCTGTCAGACTGGCTATCATCAACAAATCAACAAACGACAAGTGCTGGAGAGGATGTGGAGAAAAAGGAACACTCGTGCACTGCTGGTGGGAATGCAGACTGGTGCAGCCACTATGGAAGGCAGTATGGAGATTCCTCAAAAAACTAAAAATGGAACTCCCATTTGACCCTGTGATCCCACTTCTAGGAATATATCCCAAGAAACCAGAAACACCAATCAGACAGGATATATGCACCCCTATGTTCATAGCAGCACAATTCACCATAGTTAAGATCTGGAAACAGCCTAAGTGCCCATCAGCAGATGAATGGATTAGAAAACTGTGGCACATCTACATGATGGAATACTATGCTGCTGTAAAAAAGAAGGAACTCTTACCATTTGCAACAGCATGGATGGAACTGGAGAGCATTATGCTAAGTGAAATAAGCCAGTCAATGAAGGAAAAATACCACATGATCTCACTCATTCATGGATAATAAAGACCATTATAAACTTATGAACAAAAATAGATACAGAGGCAGAGCTGCCTCAAACAGATTGTCAAACTGCAGCGGGAAGGCCGGGGAGAGTCGGGGGGCAGAAGAGGGGGTAAGAGATCAACCGAAGGACTTATATGCATGCATATAAGCATAACCAATGGACATAAGACACTGGGGGGTAGGGGAGGCCAGGGGATTGTCAAGGGCAGGGGGAAAAAGGAGACATATGTAATACCCTTTATAATACTTTAAGCAATAAAACAATGAAAAAAAATAAAGAAAAAAAATAAAATGAAACAAAGTAGCTCTACTATTATTATTACAAAAGAAGTTGCCAGGAAAGCTTCTATTTTAAGAGTTCTGCTGGGTGTGTGTGTGTGTTACTTTAAATGCAAGTTACAGAAGAAGGAACTTTGAGCCTGGTCTTTGGGGGCCACGGGGCATCAGGAGTCTCTGCTCTGAAGCAAGAGGACAACCACCAACAGAGGGTAAAGCAGAATCCCAGGCCCCACATCTGCTTTACAGAAGGCTCAGTTCAAGGAGGAGACCAGGACATCAGACTCTCCTAGCTTCACTCTCTTCTGCTCCCACAAATATCCGGAAGCACTATGTTAGCTTCTAGGCACAAGGCTGACCTGTGGGGTAGAGGGTTGAGGAAATGATGACTAAACCTAACTCGGACTGGCAGGAAAGACATCAGCTTTCATTTCTCCGTCCTCTGTGAATTTGTAGCTGCCTCTTAAACATTTCTCTGGCAGGGCCAGAGCCAATGTGGTTAACATGCCAATCTCCTGCTGCTGCCCAAGGAAGGCCCAGAGGCAAGGTCAAGCTCACATGTAAAAGCCATCCCACACCTTCATCCCTGTGCTTGTGCCATTCTCCTCAGATCTTCTGGATGCGGTGAGTAGGAGACGATGTGAGGACACAGGCAGCCCATCACTCACCCCTTTCCTTCCTCTGAAGTAACCCTACCGGCGTCTGTTTCCATATGGGGCCTCACTCTGCCCGGGGCCTGTACAGTGCACTCACCAGGGGGCGGGGGATGGGTTTCTGTGGTTTCTTCGAGCCCAGCTTTTTCATGGCATTGTAGTACTTCTTCTGTTCCTCAGTCATGAAGATGTCCTGACCTCCAAAGTAAAGGAGGGAAGAAGAGAAGCAGCAATTACAACCGGTTCTCAAGTGTTATGGCTTTGGAACCTAAGGTTCAAAATTGGGAACTGGGGGACACTTTTCCCCTTTCCTCTCCCGAGGTCAGTTCAGCTAATGGTTGTCCCAGAGTGAGGCAGACCTGGGACAACTACCGCAATTCAAAGAGACACCTGCCTTTGTTTCCGCTTGGGTTTCCTGAGCTCTGCCAGGAAGGAGGGAAATGAACAACCCAATGACAGACTCTCAGGGAAGGTTAACCTTGAGAGCAATGGCTTTGAAGATAGTCACATCTCAGGATTCCTAATTTTTTTTTTGGGGGGGTGGGGGGCCTGCTTTCTTGACAAAATTCGAGGGAAAAGACATTTTAAAATAAAAGGATTTTCAAGTCCTGGCTAATGGCCCATTTATTTCTAACAATATCAAAAATATAGAAATTCTGATGCAAGAAAACAATTTGGGGCGCTCCTTGGAGTTTGTTGGGATGGACTTGATTTATAAAATGAGTAACAAGTAATCTTTTCAATTTGCTTTGGAAAATTGTTAGCCATCTGGGACAAGTAAGGAAGTGAATTTTCTAAGGATGGCCTCTCAATCCCAATTTGCTAGTAGTAGTACCCAGGGATTAACGTGGACAGTTACAAGTCTAGACAATTTCTACTTCTCACTGTAGCTATTCATTTGCTTCCCTTTTCACTCCTGTCACTAGACCAGTGATGGCGAACCTATGACACGCGTGTCAGAGGTGACACGCGAACTCATTTTTTTGGTCGATTTTTCTTTGTTAAATGGCACTTAAATATGTAAAATAAATATCAAAAATACAAATCTTTGTTTTACTATGGTTGCAAATATCAAAAAATTTCTATATGTGACACGGCACCAGAGTTAAGTTAGGGTTTTTCAAAATGCTGACACGCCGAGCTCAAAAGGTTCGTCATCACTGCACTAGACCCTCTCCTATCCTACTTCCCTCTGGTAGGAGACCACAACCAGTAAAAGGTCTCAAGAATAAGACTGCTAGTAAATGTGGTAAGCCACACACTGAAATCCAGCCCTCAACAGGAAGAGCTGGTTGGGGCTATTGTGCAGTGGGGCAAGTGCCACAGTGACGTGACAGTATGGATTTTAGAGGAAGAAAGGTGTTCCCTCTCTCGAGATAGGGTCAGAGACACAGAGAGCTATGCTCTCATCTGGGTGGACCTCTGACCACTGGCAAGGAGGGGAGGAGACCTATCTTTTTCTTTTGTTGATTGAAGTTATCAATGATGACACCAATGAACAGGTTCAGGGTGAAGAAGGAGCCGAAGATGATGAAGATGACAAAGTAGATGTACATGTAGATGTTGTCCTCATACTTAGGCTGCTCTTCAGGCTGTCAAAGGACAGGAGAGAAAGGAAGAGAGTCAGCTCCTCACCTGGGGATCAGGTGGGCAGTTCTGACCTGCCACGGCCATGAGCCATAACTGACCACTCGAGCTGCTGAACAAGCTGGGAAGGGGGAGCCCTAGGTTCTCTGTCTCCTTCACCGTGGAGGCCCTGCCCTCAGAAGACATTGTTCCTGCCATGGCTTAGGTCAGCGGTTCTCAACCGGTGGGTCGAGACCACTTTGGGGGTCGAATGACCCTTTCACAGGGGTTGCCTAAGACCATCGGAAAACACATATATAATTACATACTGTTTTTGTGATTAATCACTATGCTTTAATTATGTTCAATTTGTAACAATGAAATTGGGGGTCACCACAACATGAGGAACTGTAGTAAAGGGTCGCGGCATTAGGAAGGTTGAGAACCACTGACTTAGGTGGAGAATATGCAAATCATGAGGTGAGGGGCTGTCTGCTAGGAGCCACTTATTTCAAAGCAGCACTGAGGAGCAGACAGCCCAGTGGGCAGGCAGCCTGGTCGTCTGGAGTCAGCGTAGGAGAGTGATGACTTACTGAGAGGAGCCAAGTGTCCTATAATCAATAAGACAAGCAATAAAGGTTCCAACCCCCCTCTCTTTCCTGGTGAGATCCACCATGCTGCTCCCGTCCTAGCCATCTAGGAAGGTTGTGGTTTCACCAGGTACATCCTTACCTTTCGGGAATCTACAGCTGCGTACATGATGTCCATCCAGCCTTTGAAGGTTGCCTGGCAAACAGAGTCAGTCATTAGACTGTGCCTGTGAGGGGGTGGGTGGGAGCCTAAGCAGGGGTCCAAGAGGCCAGGCTTAGGTTCAGTGAGAACACAAACAGGGAGACTGAGTGTAGCCTCACGTGGACATATGCCTTTTCTGTTTATTAATACACGTCCCAAGGGAGCTTTGTCTACGTCCCTTAAAATAACATCAAAGTTTGGCAGAGAAACATGTTGACAATGGTAATTGGATCAATAGTTTTACAAAAGGTCTTAAAAGTGGGCCTGAGAAGGTTGCCTAAAGCTGGGGAAACTCATATTCATGAATGAATAGCATGAATCTACTGAGGGGTACTTAGAACTTGGAGGAATCATTTTTTAAAAGGTGTTAAACATGCCCTGACCGGTTTGGCTCAGTGGATAGAGCGTCAGCCTGCAGACTGAAAGGTCCCAGGTTCGATTCCGGTCAAGGGCATGTACCTTGGTTGCGGGCACATCCCCAGTGGGAGGTGTCCAGGAGGCAGCTGATCGATGTTTCTCTCTCATCGATGTTTCTAACTCTCTATCCCTCTCCCCTTCTCTCTAGGAGTACTTAGAACTTGGAGGAATCATTTTTTAAAAGGTGTTAAACAAGCAATTGGCTCTGGAAAATTCATAGCGGCATTAAAAAATACAACAAAAAACCTAAGTCAGAACTACTCCTTTACCAATACATACATGTATAGCCTACGGTAGTGGCAATACTGGCTTCACCCTAGGCAGCCCCTTCCCAGTTCTGTTTCTCAATCTAGTATACCTAGCCTGATTTTGCAAACAAATATGGGTGACCAACTACAATTCTCCATGTTTTACTCACATTTACGTATGTTTTATTTACTTAACCAGATTCTACGTTTTTTCAGGGTGTGGGCAGCTCTTTATTCGTTTGATGGCTCTAGCAGTGCCAAGCACAGCACCTGGCATGTGGTGGGGACAGTGAGTATAATGTTGGACTGGCTGGTGGATGTGCATTGGTCTCCTGGAGCTGCTCCAATTAAAATTCAATTTGCGGGTACAATTTCTTTGAACTGGGATAGAATGAGAGTACTTTGGAGTGAAATGAACTACTGCTCATCCCCTTAACTCTGCCTCCTACTACCAGTTAGCAGTAAGTGCTTAATATGTAAGACTGTGTTGAGAGCTCCACCTGCATAATAGCATTTAATACACCCAACAACTATATGATGTAGACAGTTGTACTAGTAACAAAATACATCATCGCAAATACCATTATTAAGCACTGCTATATGCCAGGCACTGTGGTAAGAAATTTGAGTAAATTATCATGAATCTTCCTGACAACCATACATGGTATTATTATCCACATTTAATAGAGGAAGAAACTGACTCAGAGAGGTTAGGTAATTGTCCAAGATGACATATCCAATAAATGAGTGTGGCTCAAATCTACATCAGTCTGATTCCAAAGCCTAGGAACTTTCATTGCCTCACACAGTCCTATAAAACATCCCCAAAAACTGGTAAGAGAGGAAGAGGAGGCTAGGCATAATGGAATGTTACCTGATTACAATAAACCCTTTCTCACTGTGATACACTGAGACCTTCCTCTGGGGCTGACCTGAGTGGCAGCAACATAGCACGACCATGTTCTTTCCTTTAACTTCAGTGCAGGCGTTATGGAGAATTGTTCCACTCCATCAAACTGCCCTCACTTTTGTTTGTTTATTTATGCACTCATCTTCATTTTTTCCTTTTTCTTTAACTACACACTTGCACTGGAGAGAGAAGGCGATTGCTCTGCAGCTTTATTATGCTGCAGGAATCTCTGTTTGTTGCTGAGCTTCAGAGCAGCAAGAGCTCCTTGGAGTGAGGTCTTGGAGAGGTCAGAGTACGCGGGGAACGTGTCTCCCTGGAACTAGTTTGAGAAATGACCCAGGGCTGGGTGACCTATTAAGAATCATCTTGATTCTGGAAGCAGCGGGGAGGGTGAACCACAGAAGATTTCTGCTACCCACCTGAATTTCATAGGGCAGAAAAAATAACAATACTTACCACCTGAAGAAGCGCCAGGTATCCTGCCCCAACGTTGTCAAAGTTGATCTTCACGTTCTTCCATCTGATTTCTGTATTGTTCCCCTCCATGAGCTTTTCACAATCAGTTTTATTGTTGACAATTTCAATTTCAAATCGTTCTTCCGAAGTCTCATTAAAGCAGTAGTGGTACTTTCCCGCAAACAGGTTAACGCCCATGATGCTGAAAATCAGCCAGAAGATGAGACACACCAGCAGCACATTCATGATGGAGGGGATGGCGCCCACCAAGGCATTCACCACCACCTGCATTGGAAGGGGGAGGTTGCTGAGTGGGGGAGGAAGTACGGGCAAACACACTTTTTTTTTTTGATTTCCAGGAGGGGAATGACATTGTGTGGCTTGTTCTGACTACAGAAACATTATGTCCCTTTTGAAATTAGGGTAACTGGAAAGGTCCAGAAGTAGGACCAAAATTTTCTAAATCGATGAAATACATTTGGAAGGATTCTAATAAATTACATATTTATTTCACCTAACACAAATCCCCTGCCCATGTTGACCTAGTCTTCCCTCCTAGGTATCAACCTGGACCAAAAACATTATTTTAGTCCAACCTCCCTCTCCTAAAACATGCCCCAAGGGAAAATCTGACAGATCTCAAACTCACAGGTTGCCTTTCAACAGACATTCCCCCTCTGCAAAACAAGTGTGACTCTTTAAAAATCACAGAGAATCACCCTTTAGGGTTAGCAGTGAATCAGTCAACAGTACATAAAGTCTCTTTTATGACTATGCAAGGCCAATTATCTTAACTTCAGGCAATAGCTGAGCATGCATATTTTGCAGGCTCAAGAAAAAAAAAAAAAGCTATATTCCCTCTACCAAACAGTATACAATAAAATCTGCACAGATGTGTTTTTCATACATGATTCCTTTTTCTTCCTCAGCTTCTTCTTCCTGATTTTGTAGGTTCCTGGATCTAAGTCACCCCTTGCTTGGCTAACACTGATGTCTCCGCTCAATCCAAAGCTTGACTGGACTCTTCACATAGGATTGGCAAGTTTTTTTGGGGGGAAAGTTTTGGGTTAGATCACTGCTCTTAAAACCCAAAACTGGCATCTTGTTAAAAATCACTGACTATAGTGGGCTGCGGAATGAGAAAAAAAAGTAAAGGGGGGGAAAAATCCCCTCAGGAATCTAAGTTTCTGGGTTGTTTTAACTTTGGTTTTGCTTCACACTGTACGTGAGGGTAGCTAGACAACACGTCCACTGTGGCAGCAGTTTTCACCTGAGGAGCTCAGAGTGCTTATAAAAACAGCATTTCAGACGGTGAGACAGAGGCAAGGCTGGCGTTCATTTCTGCCCTGATTCTTACTTGCCGTGGTCCTACGTGGGGCTGCCGAGGCCCAGAAAGGGGACTCTGAAATGGGAAGAATGCATCTTCCTTTTGCTGGTATTCTAGGAGAATCAGTGGAGCTAAAATGAAGACAATGGCCAATATTTTGTTAGAAGGAGGGGACAACTGTCACCATGACCCTGCAGCTTTCGGTGCAGAGAGGAGACAGCTCAGGCTGCCAACTAGCACCGCACCCAGAGGGCCGAAAGCACGATGCCCCTCGGGAACACTGGGCAGCTCTGGGCTCTAACCGGAGCCTAACCGGAGCCCAGCGTGGGTCCAGGTTTTCCTTATGTCCCGCTTTTGTCTTAGGTTGCGTGTCACTCATTGGAACACATGGCTGTTCTGACCTATATAAAAAAGGCAATGACATTCTGTGAAGGATCACTCTTCCTCAGATTAAAATACTAGTTTTGTGTTTCTCCAAATCACACATGAAGGCCTTTAGACTGAGAGGCAGTTATTTCTTAATTCTCAGACCAAGAAATCTCTTCAAGATCCAACAGCTCTGTCATTCGTATAAAATCATTGTGTTTCAACCATTTATCACATGGAGCAAGGAAAGCCAGAATATCTGAAATCTGAAAAACCCTCAGTGCTATTTTGGAGACTGATATTCATATTTATTTACTTGTGACCACATGTGTCAGGTGATCAGATCTGAATTTTACCTCCTCGTTTACCGTTGCTCACTCTTTGGTGGGAGCACCGGAAAGCAACGAGATGTGCTCAAAAACAGGCACAAGGAGGGGATCCACAACAGGAATAATCATTTCTCAAACAACAAGAGGTTATGCAGATTCAAAAGCGAGGTCTCTGTGACAGCGTCTGCCGCAGAGCTTAGGTGAGAGATCACAACCTTCTACTGGATCCTCTCAAGTAGGCCTCAGGGAAGAAGGCTCCCAAAGATCTGAAACCTAGAAATAGTGTTTTTAAAATCTCAATTCAACCTCCTCTGGGAACTCTCCTATTATAACCCAGCCTAACCTGTCCTACATAGTGTCTTTGTGTTACAGCTGAATATGGTGTAATATTAACAGCAGGAAAGAATAATTAGCTAATTGACTAAGTGATCTTTTCACACTTTTATACTCAAAGATTGATCAAAGGAATCAATACACAGAACTATTTACTGAGCCTTGTTCTCAGACATGTGTAACATAAAAATCCTATGAAATCCAATGTACTTTTAAGATGTAGACATATTTTCATTTATTAATCATAACCAAAGAGAAACTTCTTACCTTAGTTTTATGAATCAAACAGTAAACAGAGCTGATGAAATTTACTAATAATTCTTTCTGGCTATAAACAGTAGCTAGTGAGCTGCGATATGTTAAATAGAAGTTGTTTAATTGTGCTCCGTATATAATTGTGCTGATATTCTCAGCAAACAAAGGGTAAGAAACCATGCTTTGCTATTTTGAACTCTCACACTATATGGGTTATAAATGCGAATTCAAGTGTCCATGGATAGTCTCTTAATAAACTGAACCTTCTCTTCTGCTCTCTAATAATTCTCAAGAAATTCATTATTTTTTAAAAACTAGGTATAGAAATATTACTCAAAGCTAGGTTCTAACAATCTATAAAAAGCGACTGTTTTCAGTGAAAGTTTATACTTAGCAATTGATACAAATTTCATATAATTAATGAGAAAATGCCAATGAATATCAAATTTTACAGCATTTTTGTCATCTCTATGCCTAGAATATTACTGCTCAATTAAACACTATGAAATATGTCAAATAGCTTCTAATATCTGGCAGAGGGAACATGGCTTTAATGGACCACTATGTACTGACAACCAACAAAAATGCATGCATGTTTCATAGCATTACTCCTAAATGCCCTCAAATATTTAATAGCACAGCAACACCTTAAATGAAGATTACTATGGAGGAGAGAAAAGCAAAGAACTACATCAAGTATTACTTTTCCAATAGCATGAATGTTTCAATTTTCTGGTCTTTGGTTTGAGGAAGAAGAGAGGAAGAGACTGAGGTCAGTGTCCAGGACAGGCTAGGGCTGTTTGTTCCCTCTCCAGTGAAGCTCTGAGCCTATCCTTGGAGCAGCACAGTGACAGTTGAGCCCATCTGCATTGTTAGTATTTGGTTCTTGAAAAGTTCTTAGTTAACATTTTCTAAGGGTAATCTCTCAAGGGTGGGCATACACAAGAACCCCAAGCAAGGAATTAAGGACATATGCCCCCAAAGAAAAATAACACATAAAACTATAAATTCAGGCAAATTCAATATTTTTCCTTGCAGTTATTCTTCCACAATATAGGAATGGACCCGAGCCCTCTCCCCCTGCCCAACCAGAGCTGTTGGCTGGAGTCAACCAAGTGAGGTGACACTCCTGTACCAGAGCTTCCTTAGCTCTACGTTTCTATATTGTTTGACATCCTAGCTTTGGGTTCACTTGTTCCTGCCCATATTTGAGAAAACCTTGATATACAAGTTCCTCTTTCCAATGCTTTTCCAATAAAACTTTCTACTGCTCTGATCATTCATTCTGGCCTCTTAAACGTCCTTGAAAGCTGACAAGTAGAAGTTTGGGGGCAGTGGCAACTGCGAGTCCAGGAAAGGGGAGAAAGGGAGGGGCTAAAAGGAGGAGGTGTGGCCACCAAAAGGGCTCCCAGTGTCTGGATTATTCAAATAATTTCCTCCTGAGCAAGCTGGCACCAGCTTGTTTCTGCCACATAATGAGCATCTGAGAAAGTTAGTAGCAAGTATCAGCTGGGCATTTTTTCTTGGTCTTTCTTCAGGTAACCAGTCTCATTTTATGAGATCCAGGATCACTGTGGGGGAATGTAGAGGCTCCCAGGCTATTGGGCTCGGGTACAATGTTGCAAATATTGTCTTTAAGGGATTTTTTTTTTAATCCTCAGTTTTTTAGTCACCAAAATAAATAACAAACTCTTTAACAAAAAATTAGTATGATTTATTTAAAATATTTAACTAACCCCTTCTGATAAAAGTGGGAACGTGGGGGAGGAGGGAAGAGCATTTTTATCCCAGTTTCAATGACGCCATGGCCACCGAAAACACCAAGCCCTCGGCAGTAGCCTCTCTCCCTACATTTAGCCTGAGCATCACCACGACCTTATCACACATCCTGAAGCCTCTCTCATCTACGGGAGGAAGACTAAGAATCCCGAGTTTTGTTTTGCTTTTCAAGTTAAAATAGATTTATGCTGCTGGGGACTGGCCTTCCTGCAGATGGCTTTGGGTGGGTTGCAGAAAGCTGGTATTTAGTAAACCAAACTGTGACTGTGCTACAGAAAGAAACACAAATTTGTTGCAAAAAGCATTTGTGTGAATAAACTAAAATAATAAAATCCCCAAGCGCCAGTGAAATTTTCATCTTTCCATACAACCATGGGTGTCATCATAGAATAGTTAGTGGCCAGGGACACAGATGAGGAATGAATGAAGCAGCACGGTCTAGTGTCTCGTTTCTCCAATCAGCCTGGCTTCGCGTGTGGACTACTGCGACTGTTTAATATTCATTCCTACATTCTGACATTTGCACATTGAAAAACACATCCTCTGGTTTGCTCTCCTGCATGTATTCAACATCTGAATGGAAACGAGGTTTCTTGGTCTCGTTAAGTATAACAGACCTCTCTGATCACCACAGGACGCTGTTACCACCAAAAGCCTGTTGCCCGCTTGGTTTTAGGAAATTGACTTTTTAGTGTGTATGTGTGTATGTGCACATGTGTACATACACACACACTTTTTTTTTAAAAAATCAAGAGAAACAGCAAAAAGGCACCTAAAGAGGGAGCCTTATTTCTAAATTGGCAGGGTGACAGCACCTTGCACCTTTTGGATTTGGGTGGAGTGTCACCAAAGCAGGAATAGCAGGTGTCAAGAAATTGAAGGAGAACTAGCTGATAATCATGTGGCATCGTACCTGGTTGCTCCTTTGACAGTGTTAGGACAGGGGACCACAGAGCGTGGGCAGAGGGGTAGGGGGTGAGGAGGAAAGCTTTGCTATCAGACAGAGGCTGCCAGTCCTTATGGGACTGGGCTGAGAACAACAAGGTGCAATAAGAGGAATCACAATACAAAGAAAAGCATTTCTTTCCCCAGGGCCGTGCCAAATTCCGCTCCGTCCCCATTCCAGGCCTGCCAGCGTGTCTTCAAGCTCCTTCTCAGCTGCTTGCTGAGTGACTCCAAGGTCACAGTCCCCACCTGGCTGATGGCCCTACACAAGATCTCCCTACCTGCAGCCTCTGCTTTTCAGGGGGGTCTCTGGGTTACAATTCCCCTTCTTTGCACCTGGTGATTCTCCCTATTAAGTCAACAGCCCAGAAAGCTGCCCCAAGTGCTACAGGTAAGCCAGGCCAAATGAGAATAGCCAATGTTAACATGTTCTGCGATGGCATGTTGTTGGGGGCGGGGCCTTTATTAATGTGATGAGGCAGCTTAATGCAACTCTCCTCGCACGGGGCAGGTGCGGCGGAGAGAGTGGAGGATCAAAGAGCAGCTGCATCACAGAGTTGGGGTTTGAATGATCTTTCCACCATGTGATCAGTTCTAGCATGCTTAAACAGTTCCAGTGGCATGCAGAAGGATCAGCGGCTCTTATATCTTACCCTCATCCCTTCAAATCGTGATAAGGCTCTTAAGGGTCTCAAAGCTCTTAGGGTCCTAAGGGACTTTATGGCACCTAGTTCCGAGTAGCCCAGGGCATTAGCTACAAGGCTGACTAAAGAGACCTACACGGAAACAGAAGAGAAAAACAAAAAAGGAAACACAACAAAAAGAAAAAGAAAACAGAGGTTCCAGAGTGTTAGAACAAAGCCCCTAGCACTGATCAGACAGGGTGGGCCCCCCAGGTAGAGGAAGTGGGTAACACCAGCTGCCTACTTCAACTTGGACTCAAACGACCTGGAAGGAAAGGTGGTTGAGAGGCAGAAGAAAAAACACAAAGGAAAGAGAAAATCGAGGGAGGGCGGTGGACAGACATACAAGTTGGAAAAGGGAAGAGGTTGAAGGGAGCAGGAGAGAATGAGGAAGTTCCATTGGAAGAAGAGGAGCCTGAACAGATGACAAAAACCTTACCCTCGCCCTTTACAGTCTCTGCAGGTCCCAGAAGTTCCCATTAAATTAAGCCAGACAAATTTAATGGCACCTATGGAAAAGAATACAGATCAATACACACACTCCACGCAGGCCGCCCCCTCCTCAGCTCTTTCACCAGGGACTGCCAACAAGGACAAGCTCTCTGACTCCTGGGTGACAAGAAACCATTTGTTGAAGAATTTGATGAGTCACTACATGAACAAAGGCAACATTCATAAGTACCACAGCCGACTTTACAGTTCCCACGGAGAAAAGAGCCAGGCGAAGAAACTTCTCGACAAAATTTTGAGTCTCTGAGAACTCACTTAAGTATAGTTCTTCTATTTCTCATTTTTAACTATAACAACCCTTCCATCTTTTAACTATACCCATGACTCCTCCCTGGCCCTGAGGACGTGGGTGGGTCTGCACAACTGCATCCACACTTTTCCCTCTAATCCCCAGAACAGTCCACAGCAACCTGGCCTCAGGTCTGTCCTTTCCAGGCCAATCTTCTAGTTCCTCATCATTAAAATAACAGCTGGCAAGATCCTTGGAAGAATTTTTAAAATTTTATTTTATAGATGAGGAAACTGAGACCCATATGCCCAATACACAAGAGTTTGCCTGGGATCACGTCAGCAGCCCTGAAGCTAGGATGAAGACCCACACTTCCGATTCCCAGGCCGGAGCTCTTTCTTCCACAGACATGCCCTCCCGCACTGGCAGGTTGGGTTATAGGCATCCCAGTAGAGGACTGCAGGTGTCTGAACAAGCCAAAGCTGAACACACTGGCATACTCAGGAGCAGTCTGCAGGCCCCAGGCCTAGAGTCATGGTTGAACGCTTTCCTGCTCTTCCAGAGTCCTCAGAGCAGTTACCATTATGATCCCCTAACACTGGGTACTAAGTGCCCACACTGACAGCTGCGCCTGACCTGAGATCTGAAGCACCTTTAGTTGCTCAAATCCTAGAATGGCTGGGCTCTGGATTTCTAAGAGCAGTCTTTCCCTTGTTCTGGGATAGATTAAGATGTTCCACCATGAACAATTCTTAAATTCCCTCTGGTTACAGGTCTGCTTAGCCCGAATTGATATTTTAAAGCAAATTTAGAGGAGAAAAATAAACAACTCATAGCTTAGTTTCATTTGTTGCTTTTCATCTCTATCTTAGGGATTTAATTCTGCATCTCTGAACTGCACCAAACTGTGTTGTTGTTGTTTTTAAATGAAGATATTTATAATTGAGCAGCAGTACTGGCAGGGGGTAGAAGGAGGTCAATGACCGAGTGAGGGTCAGGGATGGGGAGCCTTAAAAGTTTCCATTTTAAAAAGGGCTGTAAACCTTTACCTATGCAAGTACTCATAACCCACCAATACAGGAATCTTCTCTGGATTCCTAGGTGGTGTCCAAAACAAATCCGGAATTAAATGCTGCCCTATTAGGCTGCTCATGTTCTTTAAAAGGTACATAGTTCAGGGTTGAATTTCTGCCTAAGACAAGGGCCTCAAAGCCTTATCTAGAACACACTAGCAACAACCAATCATTTTCCTCCCATCTACCATGGTCGATAAGACATGGAGGTGTATTTTGCCCACCATTGCCAATTACAGTCAACTCTTAAACACATTTAAATAATAGGGAGAGAGATAGAAACCTCAATGATGAGAATCATTGATTGGCTGCTCCTGAATGCCCCCTCCTGGGGATCGAGACCGAAACCCAGGCATGTGCCCTGATGGGGAATCGAACGGTGACCTCCTTGTTCACGGAGGATGATGCTCAACCACTGAGCCACAGTGGCCGGGCTTAGCAAGATCTTAATAGGTAAGTCTGAAGGTAAGCTGTCCCATCCCAGTCAAGTGCCTGAGTTCTAAATACCCCTTATCAGCTCTGTCCTGTGAATCTGCCAGGTAAAGACTGCTGAAGGCTAAGCTTCCAGCGGCTATTGGCCCCATACAAAGCGAGAAGACCTCCAGCTCTTTTTTGGGGGGAGTGGTGGTGAGTATGATTTATCTGATAACAAAGAGGCCTAAAGTGGGGAGGAGGTACAGACGCCAATCCAGAGGTTGGCTCTAACCATTGTTGAGAGATAATCTGCGCTTGACTGATCAATCTTGCCAAGATCTCCCCAGGAAGATAGTAAGGATCCTAGCGGGGTTATTTCTTAGTAGCTGAGGACTTTCTTATAACCCTCTGAGCCTCCCTGTTAAACTCTCAGTGGAGATAGTGAGAACATTGCTCAAAGTATACTTTAAGGAAAGAGCCAAACCTGAAAAAGGAGTTGAGAAGTCAAAATTCAGATTATCGATGGCTGGAGGCAGGGGAAAAAAGGGCATTGGGTGACTTTTTCAAAATGATGTGAACGTTTCAAACAGAGACCATTTCAGCAGTCTGAATTCAGAATGAGGTGAGTGGTCTCTGAAAAGTTCCCATCCCTGGAGCCAGGGTGCTGGCTAACCTTGGATATGATGGGGCAATGTTTCGTGGGGAAAAGATGACAACATTCTTCTACAGGACAAGATCTCCAGTGCGGCCAAGGACCCGAGCAAAATAAAATGTCTCTGTTTGGGAACTCAGATGGCTTATAAATACAGAACAATTAACCTTATAAGTTATCTGGATTACCTCCTGATTCTAAAAAGTACTCAGAGTAGCTTAAAGGGGCAATCGGAAGAATGAAAATTCATTAGGGAAACACACATAGTGATGAATAAGAGATTCGGACGTCAGTCACTGGTAGATGAAACCCTGGAAGAGAGTCTCTAAGAAATGATGCAGAATTGGGACCCAAAATGTTTACGTTGCTGGATGACCTAACACGCCAAGGGCTCTAGATATCTTACTCAAAGGGCAGCGAAAACTCTGACAGTTCCAGCTGTCAGTCTAAGCCTTATTCTCCACCCACAACTCACAAATGGCAACCAGTGCGGCCATGGTTCACACCAGGGCTGTCCCTACTTAGCACACTCTGCTTCTGCTACGGTTGTTTGTATGTGCCTCATCTTTCAGGCCCTTAGAAGTGCCCGTCTTCTACTCTCCGTATTTTCCCCCACAACACCTGGCAGCAGGCTGTGCACGTTGTGGATCTCAATAAACATTTGATGCGCAAAGACTACATGGACTGTTCTGCCTGACAGACGTGAGCAGAAGGGGGTTCCTGGGAGAGCCTTGTTCCCAGAATGCCTGATTACCACCAGCCTGAATCAGGCCACGGCGGCCCTGCAAGCTAGTGTGAGCTCCCCAGGGGGTGGAGCACGCCTGCCCGTCCCTGGTGACCCCCTATGGCTCCTGGGACAATCCCACACAGAGAATGGTATTTGCTTACTAACAACTGGTAGAGGCGTTCTCAGGAGCCACTGTCAGGCCTCATGGCAATGTGAGAATGCAACAACTCCCCAAAGCTGGAGGGACTTACGGATTGTTGTTCGTTGGCTACATACCTGTCTCGTGCCTTTTACTTCCCTGACACTGAGTATAAAAAGTGATTAAAAATGTTTGCTGAATAAATGATGATGTGCAGAATTGTTAATGCTTTTAGCAGCTTATTTGGGTACAGAGGGATGTGAGATTCCTGATCGATATCCTCAAATTCTGGGGTTGCTCACGCCCGAGAGGAGGGAGATAGTGGTTCAGGTTAGGGTGGGCAGTGGAGGCAGTAAACGTCATGGTGGGAGAGATTTGTTCCAAATCACAGCTTCCCTAGGGCCGTTGGAGTGCGGTAGTGGATGCATCTGTCTGAATTCTTGGAAGGTCCAGAAGAGGAAGGGCTTCTTGGACTCCCGTAGGTGTGCCCCCTGACTCTCAGTGGCCCCTTGCTCTAGAAAGAGAGCAGGCCCAGGTCTCTTGGCCTTCTCCCAAGCCCCTCCCTGAACTCTGAGAGCTCAAGTCTCAGTCTGTGGGAGGCAGAGGCCCTTCTATCACAAGGTGCTGTCAACAGGTGCTAAAGGGAGTGCTGAAACCTCTAGGTAGGAGGGTCGCGGCTGGCACCCTCTGCGGGACCACCCATTTGGCTCACTTTAAGAGCAGAGGGTGACCTCCTCACCTCACTGAGGCAGAGGGACAGCTCTTGGAAGGAGTCATGAGCCGGGGGAGCTGCAGACCTTGTTGGGAAAGGGATGCATTTATAGAGCAGAGATCACTGCTGCTGCCGAGTGCTGGGCTCCTGTTATCCAAGGAAGAGGTTCCCATGCTGCTCTAGCCTGGATCCCAGAAGCACTCTACAGACAGCTCACCATGCAGCCAACAAACCTATATTCTAAATGTACCGACTCAGCCTCCAAATGCTCTACTTGCTGGCACTTCTCAGCCCTCAGCAGGAACTGAGTTCTCCATGGGCCCTGGTCCTACAATTCCCATTCACCCTTTCTCTCCAATGCTGATTCGGGTGGGAGAAAAAGCTGTAGTTATTACACAGAATAAGAGACAATCACCACGGTTAGAAAAGCCAACAAGAAACAAGTGCTGGTGGGGTGAGAAATAGTTACAGATGCAGCGGCCTCCACCCTGAAAAATAACTCGGGATGTAATGGCCAAGCCTTGGAGATGGTCTTGGAACCTGAGGGAAAAAAGGATTTTCTTAAGTTCGATGGTCACTGTGGAAATGGCCCTGTGGGGGAGAGGGGGCTTTATGTGGGTGTGAGCTCCCCTCTCCCTGAGAAGCTGACTGGCTCAGATCAGTCTGGTAGGAAGACCTGAGCTGGATGGAAGCGTCACGGGAACGGTCAGCAGGAGAGTCTACCCAGATCCCCCTCTCCCTGCATCCCGGCGGCACCCACCTCCGTCCCTCACCCCTCTCCTGGCAGCAGAAGAGGACATCCTGCAGTTTGGGACGAGAGCCTTCCTGTTCCCAGCCTAAGAAACAGGGGCTGTGATACCAAGGATTCCACTTCCCTTTCCTAATCTCTGAATTTTCTAAGCCAAACCGCCAGGGCAAAGAGCTGGCTGGCTGGCTGGTCGGTCCCCGGAGCAAATGCATTCAGAGCTCCCTTCCCAAAGTGAAGATCTGACGGCTCTGAAAACAACTTACCCAGACCTACATCTATCTACATCTTGCCTTATGCCCGGGGCCCCAGGCCGCTCCAGCCATGAGAAGAGAACTCCCTGTTTTTGTTTTCCTGCTAGAAAGGGTGGGAAGTAGAAAGCAGGACACGTACAGCCACAATGAGGAAGTCCAGCCAGCACCAGGCGTTGGTGAAGAACTTGACGAAGCCGTAGGCTGTCCACTTGAGCAGCATCTCCAGGATGAAGATGTAGGTGAAGACCTTGTCGGCGTACTCCAGCACGGTCCGGATGGTCCTCCTCTGCTCGATGTAGATGTCCTCGAAGGCCTGAAAGAGAGGCAGCAGCTGCCCGTCGCGCCTCAGGGCACACAAGCACCGCCCTGGCCGCGGCGCCTCCCACCACGAAGCGTGGCCTCTCCAGCTTCCTGTCTCTTCCACTTCACTCCCCTGCTACACGTGATTTTTTTTTTAAAGTTTTATTGAGCTATACCATACAATTCAGCTATTTAAAGTGTACCACAGCTTTTGGCATGTTCATAGTTGTACATCCATCACCACCATCAATTTTAGAATATTTTCATTGCCCCTAAAAGAAAGCCCACGTCCTCTAGCGGTCACCCTCTAGTCTATCTCCCCTTAGTCCTAGGCAACCACTCATCTACTTCCTTCCTCTACAGACTTGCCTCTTCTGGACATTTCATATAAATAAAATCATATAATATGTGGTCCTTTGCCCTAACCGGTTTGGCTCAGTGGATAGAGCAGGGGTGGGCAAACTTTTTGACTCGAGGGCCACAATGGGTTCTTAAACTGGACCGGAGAGCCGGAACAAAAGCATGGATGGAGTGTTTGTGTGAACTAATATAAATTCAAAGTAAACATCATTACATAAAAGGGTACGGTCTTTTTTTTTTTTTTAGTTTTATTCATTTCAAACGGGCCGGATCTGGCCCGAGGGCCGTAGTTTGCCCACGGCTGGGATAGAGCATCAGCCTGCGGACTCAAGGGTTCCAGGTTCGATTCCAGTCAAGGGCATGTACCTTGGCTGCGGGCACATCCCCAGTGGGGCACGTGCAGGAGGCAGCTGATCGATGTTTCTGGCTCTCTCTCCCTCTCCCTTCCTCTCTGTAAAGGGTCAATGGGATATATTAAAAAAAATAATAATAATATGTGGTCCTTTGTGGCTCGCTTCTTTCACCAAGCCCAATGTTTTCAGATTTCATCCATGTTGCAGCATGTATCAGTACTTCACTTCTTACTGATGAATAATATTCCAGTGAATGGCTATACCACATGTTGTTCATCTTTCATCAATTGATGGACATTTGTGCTGTTTCTATTTTTTGGCTATTGTGAATGCTGCTGCTCTGGGCATCTGTGTACAAGTTTTTATCTAGACATGTTTTCATTTCCCTAGGATATATATACCTAGTAGTGGAATGGCTAGGCCATATGGTAATGCTATGTTTAATTTTCTGAGGAACTGCCCAACTCTATTCCAAAGTGGTCGCACCATTTTTTTTTATATTCCCACCAGCAATGTGTAAGGGTTCCAATTTTTTCACCATCTTGCCAATACTATATATTTATATGACAAAATATTTTCTCCTTTTAGCCCCTGATGTCATAGATACAGGTAGAGGGCCACAGGGCTGGGAGATATTCAGGTAAAAAAAAAAGTCTTAGTACTACTTTCTTTCTCTGGAATTCCCGAATGAGGTAATTCTCTGATACAAAGGTATGAGCATTCCATGTGCAGAGTGGTAGACTGCACAAGGGTGGTGCCAAGAGAAGAGACTTCCTAAAGTGGGAAAAAGGAAACCTGGAAGGTGGGAAAAGTCCCTTGTCACGCAAACGGAGGCGTGGGCTCTGAGCAGTTCCAGAGGGACACACTGGGCTGCCTGCAGACTCTCTTCCAGAGGAGGCAGGGGAACACCAGGTGTTCCGGTCTCACTACTGGACAGTGGGGGCAGAGGTCATGGGTCCACAGTCCTCAGGATCTCGGTACAAATAAATCGCCCAGTGAAAACAGGACCAGCTTCCATGTTGCTTCCCCTTAACTCCATTTGTAGAAATCCATTCTACAGCCCAGGACATGTGAGAGGCCAAACACTGATCTTCGTGTCACCTGAGGCTCTAATCCCCTTCCCCTCAGGCTCCATCACAACCACATTCTAGTCTTTTCTGGGACAATTTGGCTGTGGCTTCACTTTGCTATTTTTAAGTCTCATGCCTACTATTGCACGGGGCCTCAGGTACTGAGCCACGTATCCCCTTTTATTCAATTATGATACATAACAATTGTCCAGGGTGAGTAGTAAACCAAGCTCAGAACGTTTATTTCGCTGCTGCTTTTTCTGTGGAGAAGGGGAAGAGAAGGACCAAAGGCTGGGGCATGCTCGTTAGTTGAGGTTTCTGTTTCCTAGATTTGAAGAAGGACGGCAACAATGACACAACACCTCTCCCCAACCACTGGCCTTAGTCTGATCCGCCCTTTCCTGGGGGGCAGAGGCCAGGCTGTCTGTCACCCTGCTGCCTGCACGGAGCCCCAGGAAGCGCCGAGTGAGTGCCTGCCGATGCGGTGACTCAGGGGTGGGCAGGGCGGGGGCTCCCCGTCACTCAGACCAAGGACACAAGCCACCATTTTCTGCCTCCAGCTTTCGTGCTGACACTTTCCTACATAAACCTGGTCCTTGGCATCCTTGGGCTCTTCTTTACCACACGTTACTGCCTGTTTCACCTTTTCTTATTCTCCTACCTCACAAGTCAGCAAAACTTCTCAAGGCCTTGGTGGGATCTGTGACACTGACTTTGGGGTTTCTCCCTTGTTATTTTCTTTGCTTCCAGATTAAGATTTGACTCCACACCTACATAAATGTGCCCACCTTCTTTAAAAACATTTCAAAAATCTCTCCCTTAACAAACAGAAGGAAAGTGTGTAGTGTCTCTAGTCCCTGTCCTCAAATCTGCTCAACCAGGAAGCAGCTCCCTCATAAATCCCCCGGTGAAAACAGGTCTCCTCAGCTACAATCCAGCCCAAGTGAAAGCAGATGCCAGAAAAAATGAGTCCTAGCAGGGGAGGAGCCTGCGTGTTCAGTGCCCTATAAGCCTCACAGATTAATGACCACGTACAACCACAGGAACAGAAATAACCCGTGTACCCGAGATCTAACACTCTAAATATCTGCTAAGGCCACCGGTTCTCCAAAGCCAGTAGGCTGTGAAGGGCGAGGGGGTGGAGGAACACTTCCCCCTCCATACCTTGGGCAACTGAAAAGTAAAGAGCAAGAGATTTGGGGTATTAGATGAGAAAGGGAAGTTCATTTTAGGAAGTTGCTTAGGTTGGGGCAAACCAAGCGGTGAAGACACTTGGTACTTTGTATTCTTGTCCTGATGAAAAGGCGCCTTAGGGCTGAGTCTAAAGATCAGGATGTGGATTCTAATCCCAAAGGCTCAAAGCACCAGCCAAAGCACTTCAACAGACCATTATTCTCGGGTCCACAGCCAATCAGTGTTCTCAGAGAAATCGGTCTTGGGCCCCATGCAGTCTTTCCCACTAGTTCCTATACACCCTTCCCCAGCCAATCCCTCATCATATTCTCCCCCGGACCTCACCAGGGCGCCACTGCTGAGCAGAATCATGAAGATGATGAAGGTCTCAAACCAATTGTGCTCTACAATGAGGAAGCACGTTTTCCGCAGGATCCACCAAGACTTGCCTAGGCCTTCTTCGATGTTGACAGTGCAGCACTTGAATCGCCGGACACAACCTGGCACCAGGGGGAGAGGCAGGTCAGACCGTGAACATGCCCCACCCAGCCCTGCCCTCTCCTCTATCTCCCACCAGATGCTGCCCCACCACACAGCTGGGAGCACAGCAGATGACTCAGATCATCTGATTAAGAAATCAAGAGGCTCACAGGGCTGAGGCCCTGCTGCAAGGCTGCCAGGGCCCTCTGGAGTTGGGAAGATGTCCCATAAAGTGAGGGAAAGAAAAGGGTAGTCAAGAGGCAGACAGAGCCATGACAGAAAAGGCCTTTCTAATGGAAATTTCTGGACTGATGCCAAGAGAAAGTGGACAAAGAAAAGTTAGAGCCCTGGCCAGTGTGGCTAGGTTGATTGAGCACTGTCCCATGCACAGGTTGCAGGTTCAATTCCAAGTCAGGGTACATGCCCGGGTTGTAGGCTCAAACCCCAGTGGGGGGCATGCAGGAGGCAGCCAATCGATATGTCTCTCTGGTCGATGTTTCTATCTCCCTCTCTCTTCCTCCCTCTCTAAAATCAATAAAAACATACTAAAAAAAAAAAAAAGATTGCCTGGCCAGCATGGCTCAGTGGTTGAGCATCAACCTATGAACCAGGAGGTCATGGTTTGATTCTGGGTCAGGGCATATGCCCGGGTTGCAAGCTTGATCCCCAGTGTGGGGTGTGCAGGAGGCAGCCAATCAATCATTGATGTTTCTTATTTAAAAAAGAAAAAAGAGAGAGAGAAAGAAAAGAAAGAGCCTGGCCAGTTTTTCTCAGTGGTTAGAGCGTTGGGTCACGACTTCAATTCCAGTGAAGGGAATGCACCTTGGTTGCAGGCTTGATCCCTGGCCCTGGTTGGGGCATGTGCATGAGGCAACCATCAATGTGTCTCTCTCACATCAATGTTTCTATTCTCTTTAAAAATCAATGGAAAAATGGGAAAAATATCTTTGGGTGAGGATTCACAAAAAAGAAAAAGAAAAGTTAGAGAATAGTTTGAGCAGGGAAAACAGCATCAACTGCCCTAAAAATGAGGAGGTGGGGAACAAGGTTCTTGAAGAGAGCCACTGAGTCCCCACCCTCTCATCCAACCAGTATCCCTAGCGACGCTGTAAACAGCAAGTGCCCCGTGCCCCCACCCCCCTCCTTGCCCCGCACCTTCTGTGAAGCAAGCTTCTGGGTCCAAGTATTCCTCAGGCTGTTCCACTGGGACCTCTTCTACTTCCGGCTTGATATCAATGGTACTTCCTTCAGAGGAGCTAGTATCATCCAGTTTCTAGATATGCAAGGAAAAGGGAGATCAAGATCAAGAGACTCTGCAGCAACATGTCCACACTCCACTGACTACTCTATACCTTTGCTGTGGATGATGTACTAGCTATAATTGTTCTCCTCAATTCTTACTTGAAAGTCATCATCATCCAACTCATGATGGGCAAACAAGTACCACAGGGCCTTCAAAACCTCTGTCAGGATGGGATATAACATTAGAACGCACTCACAGATGTCAGTAATCCACCCTAAACAAATGTGGCCATAGGCTGGTCTCAGGGATTCCGCTCACACAGATTAATGGCAGGGAACTACTTGAGGGGGTACTCCAGCCTCTGACCTAGATGATCCATAAGCCAGGGAGATAGATCCAGGAACATCTCAGGAATCGAGGTCACCTAGGGAAGGCCTAGAATGGCAACAGGGGGGTGAGTTGGCTATTCCAGATTCTCTCTACAAAGCCCATCGCTGAACCAATATCTGGAGCTGACAGAGCCCTGTTTGTTCTCACACAGGATCAAGGTTGGTTTCTAGGCTAGGACCTTACATCTTTGCTGCCGTCAGGATCTGATTCGCTGCTAACGTCCTCTGTGTTGACGTTCTCAAAATCGGACTCGCCTACGGCAATGGGCACCCGCACGGTTAAGTTAGGATTGTTGATGAAGGACATGTGGTCCTCATCAATAATGTACTTCTCCACGCTGCTGCCAATGCCACTGGTGGTGCCATTGCCATTCTTCTGGAAGTCTCCATTCCGGTGGATGTCTGCACCAGTGTGGTTGGCGATGCAGTTGGCCTTCTTATCGTACATCTCGTCCAGAGGTTTCACTTCATCGGCCTCGCGCTGCTTGAAGTGGGCCTGCATGAAGGCGTGCACTTTCACTTTGGTCCAAGCCACACCCTTCTTGATACGGATGACTGAGATCTGTAGGTTGTTCATTTCCCCATCATCATCCGTGGCTGCCAGATTGTCTGCACTGAAGGAACTCAGGAGCAAGGCCAGAAACAGGTTCAGCACCTGTACCAGTAGCATTCGGAAAAAAGGAGAGTGAATGTAGCATAGTGAATGGTAATTTATCCATTAAACTAGGAAACTGGAAGCCTACAGATTTATGTAACACACTCAAGAATTTATGTTGTGTTTTGCTTGGCCCACATAGTGTTTTAAACGCTCACGTTACTAGGTGAGCATTGCGTTTGATTTTTGGTTGTAATATAAGGAGTTTAGCACCTCTTTTCTTGGTTCTTTTATAGTTTTACATATATATATGTGTGTGTGTGTGTGTGTGTGTGTGTGTACACCTTGGTTACCTTTTTTATTAACAGAAAAAGAAATGTCTGTATCCATTTTGGAAGAAAATCTCCCCAAAATAAAACCAAAAAGGTAGATATGAATTATTGGGGAACATGAAAGAGTGCATAAATGCCAAATGCTCATGAGCAGTAGATGCCTTGGAGGACCCGTGTTAGAAAAAATAGGCTTGGAGAGCCCTACTTTCATACAACAAATCAAGAAGGTAGAACTAAAATACATTTCATGTCATCTCCTTTTAAGAATTAATTTTGTTTTCCTAACATGTATCAAAATAAAATAGTTTTATAAGACAGTGATGGTTCTGTTGTATAAGTGTTAAGCCACAGGATACAAGCTTTCTTGCTTTCTTTCTTTCTTTCTTTCTTTCTTTCTTTCTTTCTTTCTTTCTTTCTCTCCCTTTTCATTTCCTATTTTACTATATTGGTCATTAAGGTTAATTATTTTTATTAAAACTTACTTTTGAAAAGTGGGAGAGGTGTTCACTTCCTGATTTATACTTGGCCCTTAATTTGTCACACTTCTGAAGAGTAAGGCATATATTTTAAGTGGAGATAATAGTATGTACAGAGTGGGAGGGATGGAAACAATACATGAAATATACGTATCTGGATTATCTGGGCCATCTGTAGAATTAAAAAGGAGCATGTTGGTAATATGGGGCGGGTGTGTGAACTGGAGAGGGCTCTGAAGGCCAAATTGAGGGATTTGAATTTTAATTGGATCCACTATTGGTTCTTGAGCAAAGGAGTCACAGATGATTATACACATTTGAGAAAGCCATTCCTTAGGAACTAGGAGTTAGGAGACATATTTGCAGGAGGTGATAAGGGTCTGGATTAGGCTACAGTGATGTCAAATCTTAGAATGCACAAGAATCTCCTGTGGTGGGATATTTGTTAAAACTACATAGTTCCTTGGCCTCACCTGAGAGATTCTGATCCAGTAGATCTGGTGTAGGGCCTGGGACTTGACCTTTTTAATGAGTGAAACTTGGGTGGTTATGATGTTGGTGGTTTTCTAGAAATACCGGTTGGGTTATAGAAATGGAAAGGGAGGGGCAGATCTTAGACTATGAAGAAAGATGTAAATATAGAAAAGGAAGGAAGATGTAAATACAGAAAAGGAAGGAAGATGTATGAAAGACATCAAACATTTACTGGGAACGGAGAGAAAAGAGTCAGAGGAGACGTACAGTTACAGATTCCGAGAGACTAGATGAGCAGAAGCACTGAGCAAAGGGGAACCTGGGAAGGTGTCATCAGAAGAAAAATAACAGGTGGCTTTCTCATGTGCTCAGGTATCTGTAGACAGTCATGGAGAGCTGTCCTTGAGACAACTGAGAATGGGAGACTAGGGAAAGCGGGGTGAGTCAGGGCTGGTAACTGCTGATCCTACTACACACTAGTAGGTAATAGCTGTGTTCACTGAAGGAGTGGAAAAACTAGAGGGATTAGGACTGAGGGAATGGTGGTTGGGAATGGAAAAAGGGAGAGATTAAAACTAAAAACATCACAGAAGAGGGTGGCTACAGCTGGATCAAAGGCTGGTGAGTAGGAACCCTCTACTGGAATGCTTCTCTATTGCAGAACAGGGAAGAGAACTAACATGGATGAGCTTACAAGGGATCCTCTGAGTGTGCCTTCTTCCAGTCCTCCTTGCTCTACACTTACAGGTGAGATTCGGCCTGATCTGAGAAATGGGTGCTCCCACGCACTTTAGTGTGCATGTCAATCATCTGGGAATCTTGTTAAATATGCAGATTCTGATTCAGTAGCTCTGGGGTGGGGCCTAAGTTCTGCATTTGTCACACACTCTCAAGTGATCTCGTTGCTAGTCCTCAGATCACACTCTGAGAAACAAGGTGTTAAAACCTGTTGGTGAATGCTCTATCTACAGAGGCAGAAAACAGCAGGCAGGCAGATCGAAGTAAAGCAAGAAAGCAATTTGTCATTTTTACAAATTAAATAAAACCCTAAGATGGTTTAGGTCAGTGGTTCTTAATGTAGGGCAATTTTGCCAACTAGGGGGCAATGTCTGGAAACATTATTGGTTGTCACAACTTGGGGTTGGGGTCACTTCTGGCCAGTGAAGGATAGAGGCCAGGGATGCTGCTAAATATCCTACAATACACAGGACAGTCCCACAACGAAGAATTATCTAACCCAAAATGTCAACAGTGTCAAAGTTGAGAAATTCTGGTGTAGAAGACAGAAAGTTTTGTAGTAGAAAGAGTATAGAGTTTGAAGTCTAGGATCTAACACAAACCCCAACATTTATCAACTATGTGAGTCTAAGAAAAGTCACTTTTCTGAGTTTATTTCCATAACTATGAAAAATGTGGGCAGGTTGTGGGGCTTATGACTCAGTAGGCCTCTGTAAATAGCAGCCTCCTTTCCTTCATTTGTACCTTAGGGTTCTTGGGCCAAGAAAGAATAAAAACCAACACAGACATGGAAGATACTAGAAGGTTGAAACAGACTGGACTTGTCGGCCAAGATAAGATGTACAAGTTAGTACTAACCACCAAGTTGCCAATAACCATGACCATCATGAAGACGATGAGGCACATGGCCTGGCCTGCCACCTCCATGCAGTCCCACATGGTCTCGATCCACTCCCCGCACAACACTCGAAAGACAATGAGGAAGGAATGAAAAAAGTCATGCATGTGCCACCGAGGGAGTTCACAGTCCTGGTTGATCTTGCAGACACACTCTTTGTAGCTCTTTCCAAACAGTTGCATCCCCACCACAGCAAAGATGAAGACAATAATGGCCAGCACCAGGGTCAGGTTGCCCAGGGCACCAACTGAATTTCCAATAATCTTAATCAGCATGTTCAGGGTGGGCCAGGATTTGGCCAATTTGAAGACTCGGAGCTAAGGGAAAAACAAACAAACAAAAACCAAGTGATACTCCATCCATTTTCTTACCACATGGCTAAAATAAAAGCATATATCATTAATAAGATCAGCTTACATTTACTGAGCACCCTTGGGAAATTCCCAGGACTTTCTAACAGTCTTGGACTAAACTGGGAGAAACTGAGGCACAAATAAGGGAAAACCGATTAATTTTACAGTAAGTGAAAGATTTAGAAGTAGGAACCACAAATACTGGCTTTAGTCCCTGAGCCAATCTACTTTTTTAAAAAGCCATACATGAGCATACCTTTTTCCTATTAATTTTCCCTCAATTTCTCAAGGGACATATCAAGGAAAACGTGATACGTAGTGAACTAAAAGACGAGTATGGTAAGGACAGTGACAATAAATTATCTGTCCCCTTTAAAAAAGCATTTAAAACTTCTAAATAGCTGTTTTGCTTGCCAATAAATAATTAATGGATGATATGAAACTTTGTGATATGTTTGGAATAATTTGGAAGGAAAGCACAACTCCCGAGAAGGGGCGGTTCCACATACATCAAACGTCTTCTGAAAAGGGACTATACAGGGTGGGGCAAAAGTAGGTTTACAATTGTTTGTACGGAAAATAATACAATAATTAATAAATAATAATACAAAAATACACTGTGCTTCATGTACTCACAACTGTAAACCTACTCTGCCCCACCCTGTGTTGATACCAATTCAGAGGACGGAACTTTTGTATGTCAATCATGAAATTTCGATATTCTATATTCATTCATGTGACCAGATTACAAGGTCTTGGCGAACAGCCTGAGAATGCATAAAGACTATGAATGGAATGATAGTAATGAGGTTATCATCAGTCATAAGTTAACAACTCAAAGATAATGTAACAGGAATTCTAATAGAAGCAATAGCATTGATTTGAACACTTTTTTAATTTTACTGAAAACTTTAGTCTTATCTGAGAGTTCAAGATTTACCAGGTGTTGCCCTGTGTATATCTGGGTCACTCATATTTTCCCCTCTTGACTGGCTTCTAATTTATTAAGAATATTAGTGCTAAGGTTTCTATCTTTTAATCCTGCTTCTCATTTTGTAGATAATGAGAACTGTTCTCAAAAAGTCTATTATGAAAAAAAAAAGTCTACTGTGGGCTGGATCCTAACCAAAGACTAGTCAGCAGAGGTTCCAGAAACTTGGCAGATGTTAAGTTTGTGAGTTGGACTGAATGAGATCTCTATTTTACAAGTATTTCTACACTATTCCAATTCTCTTACTTAGATATGCTGATGATCCTGATGAAAAAAAAACACACCTTAAATTCTTTCAGCTGCAAGTGCACAGGTATCTTCCCAATAGGGAGAGAGAAACCTAAGCCAGTTCTGATGCTTTGTCTGAGCGGGATCCACGAAGCTTCTCAAGGGACTTAGTCAGCACATCACACTTATGCTTATGCTAATGGGAAACTATTCTGAAGATACTGTTCACTATTCTTTCAGAGTCATTTTAGTAATTACACATTAACTTCTTCAAATACATTAATTTAAAAAATCCTTCTTAGTTAATGACATGGAAAACAAAGCCAATGTTCAACAGCTAATTTCAATGTATATATTTTAAAGATTATTTTATTTTCATTTTCTGGAAGGAGTTACCAAAATAGAAGCAACGAGGAAAGCCATCTTTGAGTAAGGAGGAATTTTTGCCATTTCAGAGAGATGTTCGGATAAAGAAATAGGTCCACAAGCAAATCCAAATAGGATCTCAGAATAGTCCTCGGGAGCCCTCCTTCATTTTTTACATTAACCATTACCTTAGGAGGAACTTCCTAAAATTGACATCTGTTTGTTGACTGATTTTAAAAACTAACCTCTACATTAGGTGTTTAACAGGACAATTTTCAAGGTTTTATTAGCTAAGCCAATAAATAGCCAACTGGAATTGGAAGCAGAATATAGCTAAGGATTTTTAAAAATCGAATTAACTTATGCAAAACTCCTTCTAGTATTTGCAAGACAGGAAATGTAAAAAGAAACTGGAGAAATGTGGAATACCAATCGGAAAGATCGCAGCACCGAAAGCCCCTCCACATCTGCTAGACTCAGTTCCATTAAACTGAGGGAGACAATAAATCCATCAAAAATGTTCCAGCCTTCTTGGAAGTAATAGTAGGGATCCATGGCTATGAGCTTCAGAAACATTTCCGCTGTGAAAATTCCAGTGAAAACCTGAAGGGGGAACGCATGGGTTAAGAAAAAGAAATAACAGGAGAATGGCTTTATCAGCATCTTTGAATATAATATATCCAAGAAGCCTCAAGAACCAGCCTTGGTTAAATTCTGCATCTGAGGAATCAATATCTGGATGTCCCATGACCATGCCACATGATGCAGGAAAGTCTTATTTTTATTTTTACTTTTTAATATATTTTTATTGATTTCAGAGAGAGGAAGGGAGAGGGATAGAGAGATGGAAACATCAATGAGAAAGAAACATTGATCGGCTGCCTCCTGCACACCTCCTACTGGGGATTGATTCCACAACCGGGGCATGTGCCCTGATCGGGAATTGAACCAGTGACCACCTCTTGGTTCATGGGTCAATGCTCAACCACTGAACAACACTGGCTTTCTTTCTTTCTTTCATTCAAATATTTTTTATTCATTGATTTTTAGAGAGAGGAAGGGAGAGAGATTGAGAGAGATTAGACATTAATTTTGTTGTTCCACTTATTTATGCATTCATTGGTTGCTTCTTGTATGTGCCCTGATGGGGGATGGAACCCATAACCTTGGCGTATCTGGACAATGCTCTAACCAACTGAGCTACCTGGCCAGGGCCTTATTTTCCTCTTGAATGAAGTACTCAGCCCTAACGTTTACATCTTTGTTGCCAGAACCACCCAAATCACATGATTTAAATGTAGCTGAAAAATGATTCTAAGCAATGAAAATACCACACAGGTGACTGCTTCTAAAGGGTCAGCAGTCATTTGAGTATGCATGCTTGGGATGTTTGCCTAAATAAATAAATAAATAAAAAATCACTCATCCTATTTAATAAAAGGCTAATATGCAAATCGACCGGACGGCAGAATGACTGGTCACTATGACGCGCACTGACCACTAGGGGGCAGATGCTCAATGCAGGAGCTGCCCCCTGGTGGTCAGTGCGCTCCCACAGTGGGAGCGCCGCTCAGCCAGAAGCCGGGCTCATGGCTGGCGAGTGCAGTGGCGGTGGCGGAAGGCTCTCCCGCCTCCGCGGCAGCGCTAAGGATGTCCGACTGCTGTGGAGGGCGGGTCTAAGCCATCAGTTGGACATCGCTGAGGGTTCTCAGACTGCGAGAGGGTGCAGGCTGGGCTGAGGGACTCCCCTTCCCCTGAGTGCACAAATTTCATGCACTGGGCCTCTAGTTGTTTTATATTAGGAAAATACAGCATTATTTCTGACTTGATATTATGTATTATCAAACTTAAACATATGCTACAGGGTTTCTTGTTTTAAATAGTAAAGCAACAGAACATTGCTAAAAGTGTACAAAATACAGGAAAAACATCCATAGTCTCACCATCTTGCATACAACTATCCATTTTATATATCTCCTTTCTGCTTTTTTCAAATGTGGACACACTTTGACAAAGTTGTAAAATCGCTGTTACCTGTTTCCCATTCCTCTGCCTGACAGAGCACCTTGTGCTGCCTAATGCCCTCTGTGTCCCACGGCCTTAGTCACATGACAGGCAGCAGGGAAGTACAATGCCATGAACAAACCAGTTCCCTCGCTCCAAGCTGACCACATGACATCAGACTCTTACTGAATATTATGTTTTTTAGAGGTGAAGACTTTAAATGCAATAGATTTAAAACTGACTATAAATTAGTACTTATAACCACTTGGTTACCAAATTTACACATGAAGGAGTTTAAGAAAAATGTTAAAGAAAAGGTCTGAGGAGAGAATTAAAAATAGCGAAAAATACTTAAGATTACAGATATTGTGGAAATATACTGAATTAATGTATAGAAATGTAAAACCCCCAGAATGACTTGAAGGATAAATATCAAGATAGAGTAAGTGGGCTACCAGTTTTTGGGGTCCATATACTTTTCTGTGGCTTCCCATTTTTCTACATTGCAGATGCAGTATTCTAAAATAGAAAGAAAATATGCCCTGAAGAGATCCACTTAAGCAAAATCAAAGTTCATAGGGCATGCTAAGTATCTACAGATCAAACATCCTGCTAAGTGAGGCCAGGGAAAGTTAGGGCAGCTAGTCAATTCCGGACATACATTTTACCCTTAGTGCAAACCCATCAAAGGTTTCTCTACACAGACATGTCTGTCTGCTTGATGTACCCCAGGTAGAGGCTGCATTTGCTGTCCCACTGGTTCCTGGTGAACACACAGGAAGTGCCCGGTAATTAGCACTGGCTGGCTGACTACGGGGTATCTGTACTGTGGGAACGTGGTCCCTATGAGAAAATCAACAATGGCACAGTCCTGTGGTGCTGCCTTCCAATGGGGTGACTGGCCCCCAGACGCCTGGTGCGAATGTCTAGGACAGAGGCCAGCAACCCTGTTGTTTCAACACACAGCGTGCTGCCATCATTTGGGGTTTGGGTGAAAACAAATTTGCAACCATTGGCTGTATGAAGAAATGACTTTTTTTTTTTTAAACAGAAGAGTAGATTTATGGTTATCCCTACGATGTCATTCTTATTTGCTCTGAGATATGCTTCTTGAAGCGGATAAAGAAGAATAAACTAGTAAGCAGTGAATCAACAACTGTATATAAATGTCCCTCTCGTGAATGTCGTCAAATATTCATCTAGGAATTTATGTCCTAGCGCAGCAGTTGTCCAGGTGTAGTTGAGGATCCCTGGGGTCCCTAAGACTTTTCCAGAGGACATGAGGTCCTCCCTTTTGCAACTGTGTGAGGCCAGATTTCTTTCTTATGCTTCAGCCAAAACAATATTTCACAAAGGACTGAATACACAAGCAGACAGGAGAATCTAACTATCTCCTATTAAACCAGACATGAAAGATATTTGCAAAAAATGTCAAACAATGCCTTTTTTTCTTAGAAAATATAACTTTATCCCGTAAAATATGTTATTTATGTAATTACATAATGGGTACATTATTATGACTTTAAATAAATATTTAAGATTCTCAATTGGCTTTAATTTCAAATATGGTAAATATCAATAGATATAACTATCATAAACAAAAGCTTTTCAGCTCTTTTTAAGAATGTAAAGGGGTCCTAAGACCAAAAAAAGATTGAGAACTGCTGTTCCAATAGAATGTCCTGAATGCAGAGTTGGCATATCTTTATAGTTGGAGCAAACCCCAGACTTGTGAAAAGTATTTAAAAAGAGGTATGCATAAGAGGCTACAAGGACACAGATGAAAGAAAAATTAAAATATAAAAACAATTCCTTCTGGTTGAAAATGTAGTCAAGAAATGATAACATGTGTATTTGGTAAAGCAGGGCAATAACTTTTTCCTTTTTTTGCTTAGAATCTCAGAAAGTAAACTTACATGTCAGGTTAAGCTTTTGCCCTTCCTTCCATATTCCCAACCCCTCAAATGGCTCAGTCATAAATCCCTCGGGTGGGCGTCCACAGGAGGGAGGCCGGTGCCAGGTGCTGGGGCCTAAGCAGAGCATCTGTGCACGGGAGTAGCCTGGCGTGGGCGGTCAGAGCCTGTGCAGGCCAAAGAGGGGGTCCACCTTGGGGGGCAGCCCAATACAAGCTGATTGGGATGAGGATGGCTGCCCAGCACAGGGCATCAGAGTGTAAGCAGGATGGAGAGCTTTCATGCAGGGGAAGCTTGGAGTGGGGTGAAGCGGGGGGATCCAGGTAAGGGGAGGCCCAATGTGAGGCGTTCAAGTCTAAGTGGGGTAGGGGAAACAAGAATGTGTGGGGTGGCCTGGCCTGGGTGTCAGAGCCTGAGAAGTATGAGGAGGGGTCCACATGGAGGACACCAGTGAGGGAGCCTGAACAGTGTGAGGGCACCAGCTGTTAGAGGCAACAATGGCTTCTGATCAAGTAAGTTAACATATGAAAGACAACGGCAACCAGGTTTGTTTTTGTTAGATAAGGAGCTACAAACATCGGAAGGAGAAAACCAGAATGAATCCTGCAGGGCTGGGTTAGAACTGGAAGTGACAGCATGAACTCACGGTTTTCAGTATAGTATACAGTTAGCTTAAGAGCAGCAGCTAGCCCTGCACCGAGAGGGCCGAGGCCTGCATATTGCTCCAAGAGATCCTCACTTCCAAATATCATTTTCTACTAACCCAGGGCTCCTTGGGAAATGGCTGATTCCAGGCCTGAGGCAGGAAAAAGGTAAAATTAGCTTGGGAAATCTTGTGGTACCAGAAAACAAGGAAGTAATGAGGACGCGATGAAAGGACCCAGAAGCCAGCCTGAAGGGACTCCCATTGGCCCAGTCTGGAATGGTGTAAACATCGAAGTAAATGACAGTTCTAACTCACTGGATAGCATTGAAAACCATGAGTCCATACTGATATAATTAAGTAAAGGAGTGAATCAGAAATTTAATGAAGAACAGAAAATTCAGATAGTTTTAAAGTACCTTCATCACAAATACTTATCTATACTTATAAAAGGGTAATATGCTAATTAGACCCGGTCGACCAGCCATCTTCCAGACGTCTGACTTCCTTCCCGACAAAGCCATGGTGGTGGGGGCTGAGGCAGAGGCAGTTAGGGGTGATCAGGTCAGCAGCGGAGGGCAGTTGGGGGCGAGATCAGGCTGGCAGGGGGTTAGGGGCAATCAGGCCAGCAGGAGAGGGCAGTTGGGGCAACCAGGCTGGCAGGGGACGGAAGTTGGGAGCGAGATCAGGCCGGCAGGGGAGGGCCATTGGGGGTGAGATCAGGCCTGCAGGGGAGGGCAGTTGGGGGCAACCAGGCCTGCAGGGGAGGGCAGTTAGGGGCGAGATCAGGCAGGTAGAGGCAGTTAGGGGCGATCAGGCCAACAGGGGAGAGCAGTTTAGGGGCGAGATCAGGCAGGCAGGCAGAGGGGTTAGGGGCAATCAGGCAGGCAGGCAGAGGCAGTTAGGGGCGATCAGGCAGGCAGGCAGGTGAGCGGTTAGGAGCCAGCAGTCCCAGATTGCGAGAGGGATGTCCAATTGGAAAGGGTGCAGGCTGGGCTGAGCCCCCTCCCCTCCCACCCCCCCCCCCGCACGAAATTCGTGCACCGGGCCACTAGTTAATTATAAATGGTAAAGAGTAACCTTACAGGGGAGAAGCCTGGGGGGCACCTCCTCAACCAAGTCACCATCACCAGTAATGACACAAATGAAGAGTGTGTGCCACCTGGCAGGTGCAATGAGAGGACAGCCTCACTTGTGTGACATTTCTGCCAAATGCATAGCTTGAGCCTAACCATGAGGAAGCATCAGACAAACCCACACTGAGTGAATTCTACACAATATCTGGCCTGTAGTCTTCAGAAGTGTCATGGTCATGAAAGTCAAAGGAAGACTGAGGCACTCGCCCAGGCTGAAGAAGATGAAAGAGAGGACAACTAAATGCAATCTGTAACTCTGAAACGGAATCCTTTGTTATAAAGGATATTACTGGGGCCCATGGGAAAAACTTGAAGGGGCCTGAGGATTAAATGGCTGCAATGAATCCATGTTAATTTCCTGACTCTGACGTTAAATTAAGGTTCTGTGGGAGAATGCACTTGTCCAAAAAAAACACACACTAAAGTATTCAGGGGTGAAAGGCTGTGTCAGCAACTTACTCTCAAAAAAATAAAAAGTGTATACTATACTTGAAACTTCCAAGTATGACTGTTTAAAAAACCACCTTATAAACCTACTGTTGTGTTCAATTGGTTGCAAAAAAGGCAAGAAAAGAATCATGAAAAACAATACAAAAGTTATGTAAGTCACATAGCTGCCCTGGGCTTCAACTTCCTTTAGAAAACACAGGGGTTCGATTGAATTATGTGTAAGGTTCCTTCTATTCTTAGATTTTTCTTGTGGGGAGGGCAGAAGAGGCAGGGATTATAGATTTACAGAAGGCTGTTCTCATCTTCCCGCAGAAACACCTATCGGCACCTCTACAGACAGACGCACCTAACCACTGTCCTGGCTGTGGGAAAAGCCTCTCATTCCAACAAGAAGACAAGGGTGTGCTCACATCGGTTAGTCTCACCTTTTCTTATCCTCTTCTTCTCAGGTTTCTATCAAAGACTTTGCCCAAATCTCCAAGCCTTTGAAAGTTCTCCTATTGAGTTACACTAGTACAGTTCCTAAGATTTATAGAGTTCTTTTCAGGATTCCAAAAACTTTGGTTTAAGTTCTCATTTTATCCTCCCACCCACTGATGGATGACACGGTATTAGCCTCATTTTATAGATCTGCAACATTTCTGGACAGAAATTAATGGCTTATTTAAGGTTAAACGGTATCAAACAGGAATCAAAACCCAAACCTTCTGACTTCTAATTCTGTATTCTTTCTGCCAAACTCAGCACGTGTGTTAATTGGCAGAAAAGTACATTTTTGAGCTTATGTTATTATTCAGAAAACACTCATAATGCAAGTTTTCCCGAAGTCCAGCACATATCCAACTGCCTCATTTGGCATCTTCACTCTGAATAAATAGACATCTCACTCTGAATACATCCAAAGAGAATTCTTGATTTAAAACTCCAAACCTGTTCCTTCCCCAGTCGTGCCATTTCCCCTGCAGTAACTACCCCCCTAAATCTAGGCACTATTCTTCATTTCTTTCCCGTCGCCCTCACGTGTAACCCATCAGCCAGTCCAAAGCATCCTGGCCATGCACTACTCGCCATCCCCATTGCTAACTGTACCCTTACTTTCCCCCTTGAAACCCCTCCCCACCCAGTGCTTGCTTATTGCAGAACCTGGTTGTGGTTAGGGTGCCTCATGGAGTCCCTAAATATTACGACCTTCTCTCATATCCTCTCTCTTCACCAATGGTTCTGGGCAAGGTCTTCTGAATGCTCACAACTGTAATTTAGGTGTGGCCTTACATCTCTTTAGATTTTTAAGAAAGGGAAAAATCATGGTATTTGCTGGTTTGAGGGCCATTCTGCTGGTAGTAGGTGAAAAGGTCTCTCAGACTCCCTTGGAAATTGAGAACCTGTTCTGTAAAAACTTTGAGAAAAAAAATGCTATAAGGAAAACAGCAGCAACAGCACCACCACCAACAAAATCCATCAAGTCATATTTCTTATTACTTAACTCATGGCTAATACAATAAAACTTATATCTTTATAATATTGTTGGTTGACTCAAAATTCTGCTTGACGGCCAGCTAGTTATACAGCAAGCTCACCTGAGGCACCTTTCAGAGCCAGTGAGCACATTTCCTGGACATAGTTCAAGACTATGGGTATTTCAGCCCTGGCCAGTTTCCTCAGTGGTTAGGGCGTTGGGCCTTGGACAGGTCAATTCCCCGTCAAGGGCATGTACCTCAGTTGCAGGTTCAATCCCCGGCCCTGGTCAGGGCATGAGTGGGAGGCAATCAACCCATGTTAGAAACATCTAACACATCAGTGTTTCTCTTCTCCGTCCCTGCCCCCACATACCACCTCCCCCGTTCCCTTCCACTCTCTCTAAAACTCAATGGAAAAAATATCCTCACTCCTCAGGTGAGGATTAAAAAAAAAGACTATGGGTATTTCATCAGGCTGCATATGAGTTCACATCAAGCAGTGAGCTAACCTAGACATGGAAACTGGACAGACCACAGAATCATCTTGGGTGTGTACCAGGGAACTCAACGGACTCAAAGGATCGCTCTTGCCACATGTGTTTTCAGAATCAGAACTCAACACGATGTTATAACGCTTTAATAGTGTACTAGGACTTAAGGCGGAAGCGTGTGTGTGTGTGTGCGTGTGTGTGTGAGTGTATTTATGTGTGAGACAGAGACAGGCAGAGAAAGAGATAGAGAGTGAGGCAGAGGTGAAGGGAGGGAGGGAAGGATAGGGAGAGGGAGGGTGAGAAGTTGGAGGACAGGAAGGGTGAGGAAGGCAGGAAGGGAGGAGAAAAAAACATATACCAGGCAGAGATTATGCTCAAATTAAATGGTAACAAAAGATTAGACATGCCTATGGCACGACTCCTACAGAATAAAGAGGCCCGGACGACCTAGAGGATTCTTTCCAACTAATTCTTTACTATCTATAAAATTCAACCAACTCCTGATTTTTGCACCAAAGAAGTAAAACAGATAATCCCCAAATCACAACTACTTGACCTCAGAATCCGTTGTGTAATCTATTTTTTAAAAGTGTATATTATCTTCTAATTAATATCATAAATGACATATAAGATTAAGCTAACATTAAAATAAACTTGGCACGGATCAACTAATGGAAACTGGATGCCAGCCCAGAAGTTGGACTGGAGGGGAAGCCAGCCTGGAGTTAAAAATGTCCCCGAGACAGTCCCCATCTGGGTATGAATATGACTGTGCAGGCCAATTTACAGTTACACTGGATGCACTAAAGAGCTCCCCTATTGTGTGGTGGTTGTCACTGAGGGTGAGAGGGGAAGGGATTTGCTGGACCAATGCAGGAATCAATGTGAGAAGCAGAACGAGGAGAACCCGGAAGTCCTTGGCTCAGGCTGCTGAAGCCTGTGCCATGCCTCCCATTCCATCACCACAGCTGGCTTTCTGCCAGCAGCTCCTAGCGGACGGACATCTTCTCGATTCTGCAGGAGGAGGAAGCAGCCCAGGGGTCACAACAGTGAGCAGAAGCGGCTTGGGCCCGCGGCATATGTGGGAGCATTTGCCTTCCAATTAACTATTACTTTCTCTTCAACCAAACCCCTGCTTTCAGTATCAGAAAAACACGTTCTACAGGCAGCACATGTTCAGATCACAAAACTGGGAGATGGCGCTCTGTCTTACCAGATTCCCCACAGACAAGACATGTTCGAATTGTGGCGTCATAGGATGGTGCTCCATCGCCATGAACAGTGTATTCAGGACGATGCAGATGGTGATGGCCAAGTCCACAAAAGGGTCCATAACGATCAAGTTCACAATCTCTTTCAGTTTTATCCAGTAGGGGTGACACTCCCAGATGAGGAACGTATTGGCGAATTTATACCAGCACGGCGGGCACTTCCTCTGGGACTCTTCCAGCTCTGCAGGGAGTAAAGAACAAAAGTGGCCCCTCAATCCCAGTGTGGGGACAAAGGAGACAGCTGCAGATCCTCACGGGGCATCATCGCCGTGATCACATGAGGACAAAGTGCAGACTCTCCCTTGGGTCCCTCGGTTTTCCTTCTCAAAGGAGAGAGGAGGCAGGATCAGTACCAGGTCACTTCCCTGTTAATAATGATGATCTAGTTATAAACAAAATTCAACCCATCTGTTTTGGGAGCACGCAGAGCAGTCAGGAGCTTAGCCTCTGGAATCTCAACTGGCTTCAACACTTAACTGTGGGAACTTGAGCGAGTGATTTCAATTTCCTGTGAGAATTAAATGAGCTAAATTAAAGTGCCTCAGAAGACCCTAGAACAATGGTTCTCAACCTTCCTAATGCCGCGACCCTTTAATACAGTTCCTCATGTTGTGGTGACCCCCAATTTCATTGTTACAAACTGAACATAATTAAAGCATAGTGATTCATCACAAAAACAATATGTAATTATATATGTGTTTTCCGATGGTCTTCGGCGACCCCTGTGAAAGGGTTGTTCGACCCCCAAAGGGGTCGTGACCCACAAGTTGAGAACCGCTGCCCTAGAACAATGATTTTCATCTCATGGTACACATAAGCCAATGACTAAAATTCTGTGGTACACCAAATTATATATATTTTTCTGATCTGACCAAAAAAAAAGGTATAATTTTGATTCATTCACACTGGACAGTTATCGTTGTGTTGGCTGTTGTCATTTTTTAATTTGACAATCTAAGGGAAAAGAGGTCAGTACCCCTGATTAAACAGTTAGATATTGCATGTTTTAAAAACTCTTGCGGTGCACCAGTGTGCTTTGGCACACCAGGTGAGAACAGCTGCCCTAGCATATACTAAGTGCTGCTGAAGTATTTGCTATTGTTATTATCTTTATAGCAGGATCAGCATCATCAACCACGCCACCATGTGTTCTTATGTTCCAAAGAAGTATAAGTCAGTGAGTTTACAATTCATAATTCAGTAAGAAATGTAGTTACATTCCTTTTCCCTTTTCTCCCTTCCTTCCCCCTTCTCATCTCTCCTCGTCCTTCCTCGTCCTCTCTTAGCCTTTCCCACTTCCATCCTTTCCTTTTCGCTTCATCTTCTTCCCCTCTCCTTCCCTTGGTCTCTTTCTTCTTTCCTTTTTCTTCCTCTCCTTCTTTCGTCTTATCCCTCTCCTTCTGTTTGTCTCTTTTAGAAACAGAACCTGTTTTCTTCCAAACATGATTTTATGGAAGCCCCCATATGGAAAATACATAAACCAGGAATTGCTCTAGTTGAGACAAGAAGAGGAGCTTGGAGCCAGTCCAATTGACTTATTCCTTTCCTGAGGGACTTCCCTAATCCTAGGACTCTGATAAACACAGACTGAAAATCACTGAACTAGATGATCTCTAAGGTCGTTTATAAAGCAAAGACCAAAAAGGATGCTTAGACCCTAAAGGCAGAGAGCCATTCAGCTGGCAGCCACAACCACCTGGGCACGAGGCCGTACAGAACAAAGCTCTCCCCAAATTGAGTGTGAAATATAATAGCTAGGATTCTGAAAGTCCAAGGATCTTGATCCTGGAGAATGTTAGGAGATATAACTTTGCAAACCTGTCAGCATGATAATCCTTAGAGGCACGGTATTGGTTCTAGAGAGTTGGCTATAATGGCACCCCCCCACCACCCCTGCCCAATTCTTCTGACAAAACCAAATCATTCATGGAATAAAGGAAAGTTTCCCAACATTTTACCACCAACAAGATGGAAACCTTCAATTAGTCTACTTTCCCTTTTCCAACCAGTTGGATGGTGCCTGTGGTGATGGCTTTATTTTAGATGGGGTGCTTTGCTGGGTTTCTGATTGGCTCCCTGGTTGCTAAGAAAATGGTTGCCTTGGTTTTTCAGATTTAAGGGCCACAGTAAGCGCCACGTGGGAGTCTGCGTGGGAAAGGAAGTCTGTGAAGAAAATTTGCTTTGGCTTCTTCCTCATAGAACTCCCTCCGTTTCCAAGGTAAATTTAGTTTTCTCCCCCCCCCCCCCTTAAAAGAAAGAAAATGAAAAGGTTCTCTTATTTCCATAAATTCTTGTAGTACATATTTGGAAATCTGGTTCCGTTTCTTTTTTTACCTCCTCCCATCTCCAAATGTCTGCTGCTCACCAGCACAGCATGCACGTGGAGGTTGAAGCAGCTACTGTTCACATTTCTGACAGTTGACACAATTGTAATGTTTTATAACGAACTAGAGGCCCAGTGCACGAAATTCGTGCACGAGTGGGGTCCCTAAGTCTGGCCAGCAATCAAGGCCTATTGGGGCCAGGCCAGCCGGGGCCTGCTGGCTGCTGCTGGGGCCTACTGGCTGCTGCTGGGGCCTGCTGGATTGGGGGAGGGACCAAGGGAGGTTTGCTGGCCAGGGGCAGCGGAGGTTGGCTGTGGACGTGCACTGACCACCAGGGGACAGCTCCTGCATTGAGCACCTGTCTCCTGGTGGTCAGTGCGCATCATAGCGACTGGTCAACCAGTTGTTCTGGTCATAACGGTCACTTAGGTTTTTATATATATAGACTAGGCTCCAAGTCTTTACCAGACAGCAAAGAGGGGTTTCTCTGCCCTGTGGGGCACCAAGAAGATTCCTAGAGGGATACAAGATATCTCTTAACCACCTTTACTGAGCAAAGGGTAGATCTTCAGGATTTTTTTCATTTCACCAAAAGTAAGACAATGTAGAATGTTAGGAACTAGAAAAGATCACTAGGTGAATAAGGAAGTGTATAAAGTAACTCACAACTTTGCAAACTTACTGGCCTCACGTGCCTGGAATAGGGGAAGTAACTGATTTGGAGGAATGAGTTAACACGGGGGATGAGATGTCCAAAGGTTTGTGGGGTTTCCTTACCTTGCTCCTGGACGTTTTCAGAGAGGGTACTGCAGGTCTCAACTTCAGGGCTACTGGGAATTGTTTCCAGAAAGGGCCTCATAATTCCACCGAGATGGTGGCATTGGCAGACCATGAGGTTTCTGAAGGCAGGAGCTTCTCTCAATTCAACCATGTTTATGCACCTGTAGTTTGCGAGGCACTGGGAAAACGCTGATGAACGCGAGTCCCCATCCTCACAGAGCTAACCACTGCACCGGAAAGGCAGAGAGATGCCAGAGAAGTGACTGTGCTGACACTTGACGTTTGTCAGTTGAATAAAAGAATGAGTAAGTATGCCCTAGCTCAGTGGTCAGCAAACTCATTAGTCAACAGAGACAAATATCAACAGTACAACGATTGAAATTTCTTTTGAGAGCCGAATTTTTTAAACTTAAACTATATAGGTAAGCACATTGTTATTAACTTAATTAGGGTACTCCTAAGGCTTGGGAAGAGCCACACTCAAGGGGCCAAAGAGCTGCATGTGGCTCGTGAGCTGCAGTTTGCCGACCACTGCCCTAGCTGGTTGGGCTCAGTGGAGAGAGTGTCGGCCTGCAGACTGAAGGGTCCCGGGTTCAATTCTGGTCAAGGGCACATACCCGGGTTGCAGGCTCGATCCCCAGTAGGGGGCATGTAGGAGGCAGCCGATCAATGATTCTCTCTTATCATTGATGTTTCTATCTCTCCCTCCCTCTCTCTTCCTCTCTGAAATCAATCTATATATATAAAAGGCTAATATGCAAAGTGTCCCCTCGGGAGTTCGACCAGGAGTTCGATCACTCGCTATGATGTGTGCTGACCACCAGGGGGCAGCACAGAATGAAGAAAGGCCCTGGCCGGTAGCCAGGGAAGGAAGGCCCCGGGTGGCAGCCAGCAGCCCTAAGGCCCCGATTGGCCCTGATTGCTGGCCAGGCTAAGGGACCCTACCCATGCACAAATTTCATGCACTGGGCCTCTAGTAAAAATATATTATATATATTTAAAAAAAAGAATGAGTAAGTCATTTGTGGCAGCAATAGCTACAGCCAGCTACCTCTAAAGGGGAGTGTTTCAAACTGTTTAACCTGAGAATAAGTAATGCCAAGTACCATCACTACGGCCTCATTCTTACTTTACCTACTCTCTCCCCTTCCTTCTCCCAGGGCTTTTCTGCTTTGAGAAGTGAAACTACACTACTCTCTGCCTACACCCCACCTCCAGGCCTTTGAAATATCCCCAAAGCTGATGGCTCCCCTGACTGAATTCTGCTGAGTTTATTGGATCCTGGTGAGCATGTCTGCAACCGGATAGGGGTGAGGCAGAGCAGGCAGGACTTTCTCATTATTTACAGAATTCTGGAATTCTCCACTGTGGTTTTATTTATTAAAAAATATTTTTTATCCTCATCCGAGGATATTTTTCCATTGATGAGAGAGAGAGAGAGAGAGAGAGAGAGAGAGAGAGAGAGAGAGAGAGAGAAATATTGATGTGAGAGAAACACATCTATTGGTTGCCTACTGCACACGCCCTGACCAGGGCCTGGGCCAGGGAGGAGCCTGCAACCAAGGTACTAGGTATGCACCCTTGACTGGAATCAAACCCGGAACCCTTTGGTCCACAGGCCAATGCTCTATCCACTGAGCCAAACCATTAGGGCTCCACTGTAGTTTTAAACAGGTAGGTAGGAGCCTGTTTCTTTGATTTTAAATAATAATAATTTTAATACTTGGGTTAAAATGTCAGGGCTTCCTAACTGAAGGTCTGGAAAGCAGGAACAATTATTCATTCAATGCTAGCTTTTCACACTGTAGCGATCTAGCGACCATTAATCCAGAGGGACCAGCGGTCAAACAGGAATGATCTTTCTTAAGGTCCATAATTCCCTCTTCACATTATTCAGCTCCAGCCATTCATCGTTCTTTGCTTACAGCAGTTGTCTCATCAGTTTTAACAAAGGGAGTCAACTACTAGGAGAGGGGATAGGAGGAATGTTTGAGCAGGAACAGGCAGTAAAGGTAAAAGTGATGTGAACTTCAGGGCTTAGAAAAGGGGAAATGAACTGGAATGGCCTCTTACCCAGGAACACAATTACAGTCATCTCCTCTGAGCTACCCTTGCATCTATTTTTTTTTCTTTAATCCTCACCCAAGGATATTTTTTCTATTGGTATTTTTTTTAAAGAGAGTGGAAGGAAAAGAGGAGGAGGAGGGGAGGGAGGGAGGGAGGGAGGGAGAGAGAGAGAGAGAGAGAGAGAGAGAGAGAGAGAGAGAGACAGAGAGGAAGAGAGGGAGAGAAACATCGATGTGAGAGAGATACATCCATTGGTTGCCTCCTGCGCCCACCCAGAGCAGGGTGGGGGAACGAACCTGCAGCTCAGATACAAACCAGTGACCCTTCGGTGCATGGGCTGATGCTCTACCACTGAGCTACATTGGCCAGGGTTGTTGTTGTTGTTGTTGTTATTATTATTATTTTATGTGTGTGCTGGTGGGTGGAGAATGAGTAGAGCAGAACAGAAAGATAAAGAAGAGGAGAGGGAGAACAGGAAAATAAGGGAGTAGAGAAAGGCAGTAAAGCTCCAATGATTTAGATCTAACTCAGTACAGGGACAAAAGTACTAGGTCTCCAGCAGAAACCCTGCCACACCAACACTCCCCACCACTCCAAGCTCAGCAAGATTCAGTTCAACAAGCATTTCTGAGCATCTACTTCTGCCAAACCCTGTGCTAGGTCACCGAGGTAATCAATAAAAAATTGCTGCATTGCTTCGATAGTTCTGCTCTGAATGTCTTTGCCAATAATAAAATATGCCTATTAGAGGTCGTTAGTTTTCTTTCTCAGCTGCCATAGATACTCAGATAAATCTTGTCTTGGTGTTCAAGTGAAGAATAAAATTAGCCAAGGTTCTTAAACTAGTGTTTCTTATCTTGAAATGATCTGCAGTTATCACCTGCAACCTTAAGTATAAGCTACAAAGAGCTTAAATATGTTCTATCGGCAAGGACCCTGATGGGATGGAAAGGAAACAGGAATCACTGAAGTTGTTCAGGTGGCTGAAAGCAGTAGGTTCGGTATTGTTTTTACCTGATATATTCTCCAGATTAGGCAGGGGAAAGTGTAGCTCCTTGTAAACACTTCAAGGGAGATCCTTTCTGGGGATTCTCCCTTCACCGCAGACGCCCCGGCCCAACACACACACACACACACACACACACACACACACACACACACACACTCACTAAGTGGTATTGGTCTTAAATGACTCAATGACTCAAAAAATAACTTGTCTCAAAGACACCAGGATTATTTTGAGTCTCCTGATATCTGAGACTCTGGCTATGGTTGGGTTAGTCTGGTGTTTGAACTCTGAAGGAAGGCAATTTGAGGCCTCAAGAATAGTCTGTAACAGAATGGATAAAGAAGTTGTGGTACATATATACAACGGAATATTACTCAGCCATAATAAAGAAGGAAATCTTGCCGTCTGCAACAAAATGGATGGATCTTAAGGGTGTTATACTAAGTGAAAGAAACCAGACAGAGAAAGACAAATACCATATATTTCCACTTATATGTGGAATCTAAACAACCAAATAAATGAATAAACAAAACAGAAACAAACTCATAGGTACCTAAAACGAACTGATGGTTGCTGGATGGGACTGGGGTTGGGGCACTGAGTGAAAAAAGGTGAAGGGATTAAGAAGTACAAAATGCCAGTTGTAAAAACAGTCATGGGGATGTAAGTGCAGCATAGGGAATATAGTCAATAAGTTGAAATAACTAAGGATGGTGTCAGATGGGTACTAGACTTATCAGGTGATCACTCTGTAAGTTGTGTAATGTCTAATCACTATGTAGAATAGCTGAAACTAATACTGTATGCCAACTGTAATTGGGGAAAAAAAGCTGGATCTATAATGGGACAAGTCAACTAAATCAACACGAATCAAATGAAGAAGATTCATACAGAATCAATCAGAACTGGTGAGAGAAAACTTCGCCACTGAATCGACCTCTAAAGAAAGGAGCCTGGGATGCAGACCCCAATTGGATGGAAAGCTAGCACTTGCTGGGGACGGTGGGAACTGGAGCTCTCGCAGGTGCTCCTGAGCATGCCCACTGCGTCATGGAGGAGCCACCTAATGCCGAGGTCACTGCAGGCATGCTACAATTCAACAGTGGCTGCTCTGTCGGTGGCACAGGGCTGGAGAAGAGGGGTTTCAGCGCATCTATTCACACATCAAATGTATTCATGGCGGCTATATGAGGGTGCTTGAAGAGAGGCAGAATTAGGCGCAATCGAAATGCACAGTACAGTCATCCTTAAGGGAAAACCACAAGCGTTGTAAGTAGCTGAAAAGGAAAAGAAGAAGGTATGTTTTGGGGTGATGGGGTTCCATCATACTTTATCTTCACAGCTCTTCAGTCTATATTCCTTTATGCCTTACATCACCCCACTGGCTCCTCGTGATGACAATTACAGAGACTTCTTCAGATCTTCTAGCTCACACTTAGTCACTCTTTCACACTTATTATCTGTCTGTGCACCATGCTGGCAGCAACTTTGAAGTCCTTATTGGATTCTCTGCATGCAGACTTGGGATGCTGGTTTCTGTGACCAGCACACTATTCCTAAAGCTTAGAGGCAATTTTTGCAAAACTCAGACCAAGGGGCAGGGATTATATTTATCAAGCACACTACATATTTGTATCTCAGCAGCGTGGACTGACATCACAGGGCACATACCTTCTACTAGTGTATTTGTAACAACACTCAGTATACTGTTTATCCTGTCCTTCCGCCCATAGGAGGCCAGTTGCTCCATGGAAACTAAGAGAGATCCAGGACCTTTCTTCTTAATTTCCACTTCAGTTGTACCCTGAAAAAAGAAAAAAGCAAATGGGGTGAGTAGTCATATAAACATTCAGGCTGGGCCTTACCAGATCAATAATCCAGACTGTGAGCAGAAACATATGCTCTTCCTTAAATTTCTTACTTTAATCCTACACTCAATCCTATTGACCTCAAGAAGCAGAATGCTATAAGTTAGCCACGGACTATCCTTACGTCTATAGATGACAAGACCAAGTCATTTAAGTTTGTACAAATCTACAATGAACTCGAGTCTGGCTGGGACCCAAATACCTCATCTGCTTAATTCCAAACATAGAATAGAAAGACCAGGTCCCCTGGGGCAATGCCATCAGAAGTAGACCCTGAATTTTCCTGGCCTAGTCTCATATCCGCAGCATTTGACTAGAATTGGACCACACCATAGAATAAGTCAAATTCACCTCCATTTGAAATTTCATTAAGGGCCATGTCCCTAATCACACTGAGAGTTACAAATACTGTTTCCTCCATGTGTAGGAGCACCATCACTCTACCAAACTGTTGCTTCCAAATGCCAAATCTGGGCCTAACTGAATGTTAACAAGTTCTACCCCAAATCTCCTCCAAGCCACTGTAAAGAAGCAGGTAAGGTTTAGCTAGTTTAATTAAATATATTGCATCATATGTGTTGATCTTGTCTTTTTAAAATTTTATTTTATGAGTTAACCTGCATGGTTCAAATCCCCAACGAAATAAAAAGTGCAGAAAGTACCATCAAATTGTTATACAAAATATTTTTACATGCTCCATAGTGGTCAATATACCACTGGCTCCTCATGATGTCAATTAGATTACAGTAGATGGTTTCTTCGTATTCCTTGCTTGTGTTCTTTGTGCCAACCTGAATATTCTACATCAGATCAGGCTCAATGGGATGGCTTATAACCTAGCTTTCTAGTAACCATGTTGTCCACTTTAACACGTTATCCACCTAAAGTCAGCTGCCCCTTCCCTGGTGAGGATCACAGGGCAGAGAAAGTCACCATCACTGACGGCCAAGGAAGAGACATGTTTGTATGAAGCCAGAGAAGTATCTGTCTGATCCATACCAGAGTGATCCTACCAGTTTTAAAAAGAAAATAATTATCTCTGGAGAGGTACATCAGAAAGCCTTTCTGTTCTTATATGTTCAGATTTTAAGGACCATACAGAAGAAAATTTCTGGCAGATTATAATTTATCTCATCACAATGTTTCATCAAATTTTCACTGATTCAGACATCTGGTTTACCTTACAGTTTTGTTTGGCAGAGCTGCAGAAGAAATAGAAAGGAAAAAGCACTATTTTCTTGGCAATTCCTGACTCATTATTTACAAACATCTGTATATGTAAGAATGACTAGTTAACCCTTGCCTCAGGTCATATGAGGTATATTTCCTTGAGAAGCCACTTTTGGTTAAAATTTCCAGCCTGATAGTCACAACATCTAATAAATCAGATAAACTACTACATTTTAAAAAGGACAATCGTCTAAAAACGAACAATGAATGACCCCATTCAATGCACACTCTTATTTCTGGCATTTATTGAGTCTCGATTTTTATTGAATTGCCCTTCTGAAAAATTGTAGTACGTGGTAGATAATCTTCTTAATACTGATCCCTAAGATACGGTACGATGTAATAGACCAACTGATACTTCAAGGAAGGATGAAATTGCATTTAATGTAGCTCTGGTACTAATTATATCTTAATATTTTCTGGTCTTGCTGGATATAACAAGATATAAATTCTTCAGGCTTTAATTGCAATAATATTAAAAACAAAATTAATGAAAATGCTGTCTAAGAATTATCATTTCATGATTTTTAAAAAATTACAAAAAATATAAATACCAAGAAATAAATCTAGAAAAGATATACAAACCCCCCACTACAAACTATTCAACTTTGCTGAGAGAAACTTGAGAAGAGTTAAATAAGTGAAGAAATATACTCATAGATTGGAATACTCAATATAATTAAGATGCTCATTCTTCCCAAATTGACCTCTAGATTCAGTGCAATCAGTATCAAAATTCTCCACTTTTTTGAAGAAATTAACAAGATGATTCTAAAATATATAAAAACATACAAAGGATCTAGAATAGGAAAATCTTTTGAAATATTATCTAGAATAGCAAAAATATCTCCTAAAAGATTACTTAATAATATTTTAAAATATTTTTTATTTGGAGAGCTTACACTGTCTCATTTCAAGAGTAATAAAGTTACAATAATTAAGACAAATGTAGTATTGGTATAAGCATAGATAAATAGATCAAGGGAATAGAAATAGAATACAGAAATAGACCCACACCTACTACATCAATTGATTTTGACCAAGGAGTCAAATCAATTCAATGGAGATAGGAAAGTCTTTTTAACAAATAGTACTAAAAAACTGGATATCCACCCAGGTCCACTCCTATGTAGTTCCATACACAAAAATTAATTTGAGCTGAATCAGAGACCTGAATGTAAAACCCAGAACTATAAAGCTTATAGAAGGAAAATATCTTCACAATCTTAGGGATTGGCAAAGATTTCTCAGGCAGATGCAAAAAATATCATAAAAGGGGAAAAAACTGATACATTGGACTTCATCAAAATTAAAAATTTATATAAATGATAAAGGATTTATATCCATAGCATATAAAAAGCTAATAAATCAATAATAAAAAGAACAGCTCAGTTAAAATGGGCAAAATATTTGAATAAGCAATTAACAAAAGAAGATATAAGAAGCCAATAAGCACATGAAAAAATGCTCATCATCATGGAAATTAAAAGGACAATAAGATCGTATTTTATACTCACTAAAATGCTAAAATCAAAGATTAACACAACCACATATTGGCTAGGATGTGGAGCAACTGGAACTCTAATACATTGTTAATCCTATATAATAAAAGGATAATATGCAAATTGACCCCAACAGCAGAACGACTGGGAATGACTGGTCACTATGACACACACTGACCACCAGGGGGCAGACACTCAATGCAGGAGCTGCCCCCTGGTGGTCAGTGCACTCCCACAGTGGGAGCTCTGCTCAGCCACAAGCCAGGCTGATGGCTGCCAGCACAGTGGTGGTGGCGGGAGCCTCTCCCGCCTCCTCAGCAGCGCTAAGGATGTCCAACTGCAGCTTAGGCCTGCTCCCTACTGGCAAGTGAACATCCCCTGAGGGCTCCCGGGCTGCCAGAGGGATGTCTGACTGCCAGCTTAGGCCCAATCCCCTGGGGAGTGGGCCTAAGCCAGCAGGTGGACATCCCCCGAGGGGTCCCAGACTGCGAGAGGGCACAGGCTGGGCTGAGGGACCCCCCGAGTGCACAAAAGAATGATGTAACTATTTTGGAGAGTCGTTTGGCAGTTTCTCATGAAGCTAAACATACATTTACCATATGACCCAAAAATTTCACTGTGAGTTGAAATCTATCCAATATAAATGAAAATACTTATCTACAAAAAGAATTATACAAGAATGCTCTTGGCAAGCTTATTCATGCTACTGAAAACTGGGAATACAAGGAAGCCCATCAATAGGAAAATGGACAAACAAATTATGATTTATTTATACAATGAAATACCACTCATCAATAACAAGGAATGAACTACTGATACACAAAACAACATGGATGTATCTCTAAAACATCTTTTTGAGTGAAAGAAGCCAAATAAAAATTTCATATTGTATGAGTCCACAAGAATGAAAGAAAACTAATCTATGGTGACCCAAGTCAGAAGTAGTTGTCTGGAAGGGGGAGGGGCCAGATTAGAAAGGAGTATGAGGGTACTTTCTGGGAGAATTTTGTGGTAAGGAGGGCTTAGGGGGTAATCCTCAACTGGTCACAGAGCTCATTCTCTACCTTGGTTTCACCCACAACTCTGGTAACTCTTGGGTGAGGGTTACCCATTGTACTAATGCCGTACTGATTACAGAGGAGAGTATGGAATGCAGAGTGTGTAAATATGTATAAAATGTATCTGTGTTTTGGAAATAAACAAAGATCAACTAAACAAGAAAAACACAGGTTATGTATGCTGTCTGACATAGTGAGGGAGTCAGCCAACAAAAGCAGGCAAAGGAATCGGAAAGCGTCATAGTGGGAGACAGAAGGCTTCCGGTATGCCCTGATTAAAGCCTGTTGGCCTGGGGCAGCTGAGGCAGGCTGACTAGAAGCTGGGCACCCTATCTGCTTTGTTCGGGGTGCACATGTGGCTTCCTTTGTTGGTCCTACGTTGGAACAGGGACAAAAATTAGGGAAGTTGTCAGTTTTTAATCAAGTCATGGACATTTGGGGCTGATTGTTATAGAAGTTATTGCTTAGCTCCCTGGATTGTCATTAGATATGGAAATTTGGCTTCTTATAAGTTTGAGTTAAAGCAGGCTGGCTTCCTGGGCTGTTTATTGTGGATAGGAGGTTGGCTTCTTGGGCAAGTTGTGGGTGAAAGTTCTATTTTATACTATGATCGGGTCATTTCGGTTTGTATATGCAAACTCTCAGTATTCATTAATCAGACTGATTAGTGGAGAGATAGAGAGCAAACATATTCACCACTGCTAACTGCTTACGACGATATAAATTAAAGCTGCCTACAAAGAACATTACATAAAAGTGCTAAGCGGAAGGGGGGGGGGCGTGGATAAGAGAGAATTTGGAGAAAAATACATTTTACTACTAAGAAAATCTAATCTGTTAAAATCAGGGAACAAAGAATACCAAGATGGGCGGGTAGTTCCTGCAACTCCCTCCTCCCTAGGTGAGGTTTTCAAAATTGGGACTGCAAGTCCAGGTACTTGGATATTATTTCTTTCTTTTCAGTTTTAAAAAATTTGAGATAAAATGCACATAGCAAAAATTCAACATTTTAACCACTTTAAAGTGTACAATTCAGTGGCTTTTACAATGCTGTACAATCATCACTATCATCTGATTCCAGAACGTTCCCAAAGAGAAACGTGGTGCCTGTTAGCAGACAATCCCAATCCCCACCTCTACCCGGCC